ACATCTCCGCCGCCTCAAAGCCAGCGACAAGACATACTGCTCCGCTCTTTGCTTTATCATCTCGGAGCGGAGACGGGGATGGGGGATGGGGGATGGGGGGCTCACACATTTATGAACTATACAAGGGCTGATATTAAAGCCTGGGGTGGAAGGAGACATGAACCAGTTTTTTTTTTTTTTATGACCGAGCAAGAAGAAGGAGAAGGAGGAGGAGGAGGAGGTGACAAAGGCTGTGAAGCTGCTGTGTTGTTTTGTTTACAAGCTTATTGTGCTGCATGGATGTCTGTCTATGCAGGAAACATGCAGACAATCAGAGTGTGCATTAAAGGGTCAGAAGGTGTCAGTCACATTATTACATGTATGTCAGTTTGCATAGCTCGATGTGTTTTAACAGCGACGCCCCACGGCCTGATTGCAAGACCTAGAAAACATATAAAAAAGGTCATTTCTGAATGTAGCTGCTCCTTCACCTCGGGCTGCGTGTAGCATATAGAAAAAAATAATACAGAGTCAATCGAAGTCGACGTCCTAATCCCTATCGAGTGGGGATATGGAAGAAAATCCCCTAATGGAAAGGATCAACTTTATTGAGACATATAGCATGACAGACATGATAACTAACCACGCACCAGCTGCTGTCTGTACTAATGTTATCAAGACTGTCGATGCCTTTCCACACCATGTGTTTTAAAACAATATAATCTGCATTATTTTAATGCTGATTGTTGAACAGCTTTTATCCATCAGAGAGTAAGTACAACACAATCAAGGATCTAGAAAAGAGGAAACAACATCAGTAAGAGCAAACGATCAGCTTATCATGACAAATCTATTCTCAATCCTGAGAAGAAAAAAAAAAAGTCCCAGGAGTGATGGGGAAAAGGGAACATCAAGACTCATACGTACGACTGACTCAAGTTATGATGAAGATAATGAGACGCCGGCCACTTCCTCAACTTCAGCGTGGAAGCTGGTCCACAGTGACATGAGTCAGTGGATGATCAGTGGGAGACACACACTCAGTGGGAAGTGAGTATTGACATGAAGGCGTGTTGTGACAAAACAAAACAAAGAGGGCTCTTCCTCGGGATCAAGCAGTTATTGTATGCAGCAGGTAGTTCTGTTTGCATCGAGTCAGGAGTTTGATGAGTCACTGTGGTAAAGGCTGCGTGCACTGAAGACAAAACGATACGCTTTACATGTCACTCCCTCCTTTTTTTTAAAATGATCCGCCTGTTTGTCTCTGAACCGCGACACTAGTTAGGATAAAATCCTGTAATCCTTTTATGACTACACTTGTTTTCCCTGCTTTCAACGCAACAAGATTAGTTTTAGCGACGTCCACACACACACACACACACACACAGCACAGACGCACACACGGCTGCCAAGTGTACAAATCTCTGAGATACAGCGAGCCAAACAAGAAGCTACACGGTACACCAGGATTACAAATCGTAGGAGCCGTAATTAGGAGTTATAACATTTAAGACACAAACGGCTCCGTCAGGTGTCACCTTTAGGTTCAGGTCATTCACTTCACAGGTAGGAACTTTCACTGGGGTGTCGGGTTGCTACTACAATCCTACAGTTCACTTAGCAGACGCTTTTATCCAAAGCGACGTACATCAGAGAGTAAGAACAACACAAGCAAGGATCTAGAAAAAAGGGAACAATGTCAGTAAGAGCAAACGATCAGCTTTGAGTCTGATTGGACACACAGGTGCTGACAGGAAGTGACCAGAGGCAAAGCACAACATTGAGGGCAGTTCTTGAGAGCTCTAATCAGTATAGAAACCATCTTATAAGTCATCGTTATCAAACAAAAACCATCGTCATTACCATCATCATCATCAATAATATGGAGACCATCATCATTAAGTTAGTAGGTATTCATGAAAGAGCTGGGTCTTTTTCTTTTTCTTAAAGGTGCAGAGGGACTCTGCAGATCACATGGAGTTTGGAAGTTCATTCCACCACCGGGGGGCGACAGAGGAGAAGAGTCTAGTCAGAGACTTAGGACCCTGTTGTGTAGGTTGGATCAGACGCCTTTCATTGGCAGAGGGTAGAGGGGGGGGGAGTGTAGACCTGGATCAGAGAGTTAAAGTAAGGAGGAGACGTTTCTGTGTCCGTTTTGTAAGCGAGCAGCAGAGTTTTAAATTTGATGCGAGCAGTAACTGGGAGCCGGTGTAAGGAGATGAACAGCGGAGTGACATGTGCTCTTTTAGGAAGGTTGAAGACCAGTCGTGCTGCTGCGTTTCGTATCATCTGCAGAGGTTTGATAGAAGAGCACAAACACTTCTTTGACCGCTATGCCACACTACAGCACACAATGAATCTTTGTACGGAAATGTACGGACAGATGTTTGAATCCTGCATTTGAAAATATTGGAGACTCATTAATTAATGAGGAATAAATCTTCAAAAAACGAAGAAGATATTGGACGGCGCGCTGGTGGTGTAGTGGTTAATGCGTGCACCCATTTACAGAGGTCGTAGTTCTCCAGGTGGGCGGCCCAGGTTCAAATCCGACCTGTGGCTCCTTTTCCCTCATGTCATTCCCCACTCTCTCTCTCTCTCTGATTTCTGACTCTATCCTCTATCCTATCTCTCAAATAAAGGCACACAACATAAATCTTAACTAAATCTTATTTCACAACTCGCTGAGCCAAAGCAAGCGCGTCAATTAATAAAGTAGCCCGTCTATGCAGCCCCCTCAGTGGCTTATGTACAATCATGTTCATCATTCAGAACTGCAAGCAGAGCTGCATACATTTGAATATAGCCATAAAATATTTGAAAACATACCTTTTTTTTTTTACAGCTCAGTTTGGGTTAAAAAGAAAATCTGTTTGCTGGTTATAAGTTCTTATCTGAGGAAAATATAATCAATGAAAGAAACATTTGGAGCAATGTGTTGACACCAGCATGTGAGGCTGCTGTGCACATCACTGCAGGAGGTTCATGGCCTATAACTAATTCATGACGTATCATCAATCATGTTATGGACACAAATAGGAACGGTGGATCATTAACAGGCTGTTCAATTATACACACGTTTGAAAAGCAACTTTAAAATTGAGTCATTGTGATTTTAACATTTGACAGACTTTAAATCACTAAACTCAAAAGGGAAATGTAAAGGAATCAAAGAGTCCATGTTGGATGATGCAGGGAGTCTCAGAGAAGCAGACAGAGTTCAGTGTCAGAATGAAACTGAGCCCTGCTTTCTTCCTCACTCTGTCTGCCGTGGTGTTTTCCCAGTGATAAAAAAACACACACAAGCCTCTTGTCAGGCCTCTACATCAGACAGACATTCAAAGAAAAAGTGTACAGATATCCTGCAGGATTCATTTGTGACTGACGTTATGGGGACAGAGAAGCCTCGCAGCAACCACAGCGTTAACAATTGATCGAGTAAAAGTTGATCAAAATACTTTCAAATGAAATGCAGACTTTGTTTTGATTTGTTCCTGGTACCAGTTTAAGAAATGTGGAAGCAATCAGTGGAAATATGTGTCGCACTTAGTGTGGGAACTCTGCAAAGAACCCTTGATAATACTGTCCTATTTTAATATGTCAGCCTCTCCTCTTGTGGATTCTAGTTTGAAGGGCGTCTTGCTGCTGATGTGTGCCGCTTGTGTATCGCTCACATGTAAGCAGTTTTCTAAGGCTGACAGGGAAGATGGATGAGATATTCCTCGGACACATGATGACGGGGATTTGTCACTTCCCAAACCAGTCAGAGCCGGTTCGAAATGTGCCTGCGGGGTCGTCGTCGCCGCTGTCAAGACAGACGAGACTGTGTTTGAATGTGCAGAGACGGGCATACGCTCTGACATAATTTTTTTGTCCCGAAAAAAAACTGCAGTCAGCTCCTATAATCCTCAGCACCCGGTCATATGAGTGTGTGAACTCAGGAGAGAGTCTGGATGGCAAACGCTCGCTCATCCTCCTCCTCCTCCACATGCTCTCTCCTATTTCTGTCTGCGGAGGGTCACGCTCTGTGCTCTGCTGCCTGAGCCGGCATGACAATGACTGTCCAGCGTCTCCCCCCCCCCTCCTCCTCTACCCCTCTCACATCTCTTGGTGCCAAAGAGGGACATTGTTCTCCTCATCAACATGAAAACATTAACTTCTCTCCCCCCCCCCCCCCTCACAGGCACGTGTTCCACTGATCTGTCTGTCTGCGCATCAGCTTTGCCCCTAACGAGATCTTTGCCTCTCTAGGGGCCGGGGCAAAGGTCATGCAGTTTAACAGGGCAGGTGAACGAGGGGGGGGGGGGGGGGGAGGGTGTCTTTTGAAACCAAAAGTGCAAAAAAGAGGAAGCTGCAGACAGAAGGAATCCCCCGTCCACTGCAGGGGAACTCACCGCATATTATTGATACTAAATGAAAGAGACTGATAATCAGCTTGGGAGATAATATTCTTGTAGAAGCAGAAGCTGACATTTCCTGAAGAATGCAGGAGAAATGTCACTGAGTTTGACCTTTGACCCTTGTCAAAGCTCCCTACAGGTGAGCAGGAATCTAACAGCACACTGTGCAACAAAGAGGCTCACTCGCACACACACACACACACACGCCCGCCCACACCTTCAGGAGAGTACAGCGCCTGCTTTCTTCATAGCACTGAGATGATATTTTCAGACACGGGGGTTTTACTTCTGACACTTTCCTGTGTTTTACAGAGGAAGAGGTTGTTTCCTCGGCTTCGGCTGATTCACACTGTACAGTGCACCACTTTAAAACCCACTATGTTTATTTCCCAAGGCCCAGGAAGAGGATCCTATAGGCAAAGCAGATCTATTTCAAACGTAGGTTAAACAACAGGATGATTTAACTCTGCTGTGAGATCATTACACTGTCGATGATGATTTGCATGAATCATGATGCAGTTATGACACATTTTGGGGTTTCTATGGAACCAGCTGTGGGTATTCATGGAGCTGCTGGACACTAATAAACTGTGTTTTTTATCTTATCATTCTCAAACTCACCAACTCATCCAAATTCCGCATGTCACACAAAACTCTCTTCTGAGGCCAGATGAAGGGCTCTGGATCCGGTTCCTCCTCCTCGTCCTGCACACTGTGACTGCTCTCCTTCCTGCTGTAGCACCTGCTGGGCGGGCTCTGCTCCGCGGGCTCCCCTACATCGATCCGCGAGCTCTCCTGGTCCCGGATCTCCTCCTCGATCTCCTCCTCCAGCTGGATCAACATGGGGGCCAGCATGCCGAACTTGGAGCCGCGTCGGGCCACCTCGAGCAGACACAGGACGAAGTTCTTCTCGTTGCACCTCTCCACCAGGTCGTTGGTCTCGAACATGAGCACGTCCTTGATCCAGAGCTCCTGCCTGCACCAGCTGATGAAGTTGGACACGTTATCCCGCGCCAGGAACGAGCCCGGGATGACATTGCGCGACTGGAAGACGACATCTTTGGACGGCAGCTTCATGGAGCGAGCAGCCTCCGGGTACTCCAGCTGGAAGTCCTGCGCGGCCCGGTTCACGTTGTTGGCGTGCCGACACAGAGCACAGCCGGTCCCCAGCCCGTCCATGAAGGTGTCCGCGGAGACATCCAGGTCGTACAGGGTGTTCAGCCACTCGGCCAGATCCTCCTTCATGGCGTACAGGTACTCCTCACTGGATTTAAAGGGCCTGATACTCTTGGAGGCGGAGGACTGGATGTTGCTCTGATCAGCCATATTGTCGGGATTGTGTAGCCTATATCAATAAAGTCCTACTTGATAATTCCGGTTAGTCTCATTGCACAACTGCGCTCCGAAGCCTCAACCGCATATCACAACGAAATAACCGCGTTGACGCACCCATGCCGATCTGCATGTGAGGTGGTTCCGTACCGGAGGAGACTCGAAACCGGGCTTTGTGTTGTCAGAGGCATGTCGGGATGGCTGCATGGATGCGTTTTTTTTCCGGATGTCTCTGCGGAACACCGTTTTCCTTTTAAAGAGCGCATCGCCGGGGCTCCTGGAGAGAGACGGAGCGCGAAGACGCACGACACGGAACACACCCCATGCGACGGGGGGCTGTTAATCCGCCCGGTGGTGGAGGTGGTGGCCGGTGGTGGGTGCTCTCACCCTCAAGAATCCACGTGTCACCATGTCGGTGTGTCAAAGTCAGCTCCTCATCGGTGAAATCGGGAACAGGGAGCAGGTCGGTGGAGCTCTCAGCTCATAGGCCCGCCTCTCTGAATGTGTTGACCTGCTGTGGCTTAGACCAGAGCGACTCGGTGGCACATCCCATTATGAGGGATAAACGGAGAGGAGGCAGAGGAGAAGTTAACCCCATGTTCACCAAACACTCCTTACAACTTACTAGTGTCCTCACGATACCTGATTTTTTTTTACTTCGATACGATAAAAGTAGAAATTCCTGTTTCGATTACAGCAGCAACATTTTGAGTCCCAAATGCGCCCACTACTCCTTTCTTGTTTTTAATTACCGCAGATTCCTGCACACTCTGATATCATCATCAACTTTATTTAAGTTCTCGGAGAGATCATTGAGGGCGACCTTCGTTTACAATGATGCTGAGAAAACATACATAAATGATAAACCACGAGAAATGAGATAAAGCTACTACAGAAAATAAAATATACAAGAGCAATAAGAACAATAAAATATATATACACTAAAATAAATTAAAAGCTTGAAATTACTACAGTGATAAGTCAGTAATAGAAATCAATTAAAACAGTTACAAAATAATATTTCTAAAAGTGTCCATAAGGGATAAAAGTGCTCAAGTTCAGGTTGTAAAATATTCCAGTATGCACAAACACATTGGTTGGTTTCCAATTCATTTGAGACACTGTCACCACCTCTGCTGTGTGTATGTGTGTGTGTGTGTGTGTGTGTGCTAAAAGAACTTGAGAAACATCAGTAGTCTACCTGTTTGCCACAAACTTGTGAATTTGAACGCACCACCGCTGCTCTCTGTCTCGGCAGCTTTAACTGAACATCTGTATTTCTTTAAAACATGCTTTTCAATACCATCAAAAAAAGGTTTTAAAACCTGTAAAATCATGGCATCAAAGTATCAGAGTTTATGACAACCTTACTTTATATATAGACTTCACTCCTCCCCAGGAATACACAAAACACTATAAATTACAACTAACTAATAAGCACAGTACTTGTAAATGTGTGGCACATAACTGCAGTTATTCTGCTCCAATTGAACATTAGATAATCAAAATCAGAAATACTTTTTCTATACCCAAAGACAATTTCAGACTTTTTTTTCTAGATTTATTTTTGGGGCTTTTTGTGCCGTTATTGGAAAGATAGGACGGTGGATGGAGTCAGGAATCACCTGGGATTTGAACCTGGGCAGCTCGCTTGGATTGGAGGACTACATCTTCCGTATATGGAGGCGTATGCACTAACCACTGACCCACCAGTCTATAGTTGTTCTTATAAATCATCATCACCTTTTTTGACAGATTCAGAACTCCATTTAAAAAAAAGAAAGATATAAAAGATAAAAAAAGGTAAAAAAAAACAAACAGACAAAAACACCACAAATATGATAAAAGACAGCTACTGGAGTCTCCAATGGGATGACTGGTATCACACAGAACTATGAAAGAGAGAATATAATAGAAACAGGACTATGATAAATGGCAAAACCTTTTTTTTCCAACACATTCCCACACTGATGGTGCTATCAGTATACATTCATACACATTCATACGCAACCATCAAGGCAGCAGGAGTACCTCAGGGTTAAGTGTCTTTCCCCAGGACACATTGGGATGTGGCTGCAGGACCTGGGGATCGAACCCCCGACCTTCCCCGGGTTATGAGACGACCGACTCTACCACTGAGCCACACGATAGTAAATTAAGAAATGTAAACAGTAACTTATTAAAGGTCTGATTATGACATATCGGGGTTTATTAAAAATGCTTTCAGGGGATCACATGAGGTCTGCTTCAGGAACAACACAGGAAGTGGAATAGTCTGAAGTAGTCTTGAAACATCCCCATCACAGTTAGATTCAGTATTCAAAATGAATGTTCGTGCTGTTTGGTGGAAGAGGTCCATTTCTTTTAGGGTCTTTAATGATTTTCTTTGGGGGGGGGGGGGGGGGTCAGCACATAAACTGGTCTCTCAATGAAATCTTTGTGTGATGTCTTCATCAAACAGCCTCCAGCTATCAAAGTTAACGAAGCCTGCATCTCTCAGCATCATGAGGCATCTACTCAGCTTAGCAGGACAAATTCCCCTCCAACCAAACACTGATCAAAAAGATGAGAGATATGTTAGTTAAGCATTCACAGAGTCAGCTGCACTCCTCGTCAGTTTGTTTGTAACGATTGTGTGATTATTGGTTTGTAAGAGGAAAATAAACCAATCAGACGAGCGGTGTGTCACCTGGGAGGACAGAGGGAGGCTGAAGGCAGATAGTGAGAGAGATAGTGGACTGTTATCCCGTTTAGTCAAGTAAGCAATCTGAGGACAGAGCAGCTAATTCAACATCACATGATCACTTCACTATCCCCAACAGGCCTTACACATCTTGGTTTGGTGATGTGATGTAGGCTGACGGGCCCCTCTAAATCTTATGGAAACACAATTTTCTGTAAAAGGTGGACAACTTAACACTTCCATGCAGCCTAATCTGAAATAATCATGTTGTGGTTGTGGAATTGTGTTATTTTTATTTGTATTTATTTACATATATTTTAATCGTCCTGCTTTGTTCCTGTATTTAACTTAACTTAATTATAATTTTGTCTTTTTTTTGTCTCGCATTGATAGTGTTACCCTTGTTGGGTATTGTACATCACGTGATCAGCCATCGATGTGTCACATACGGGGGGGGGGGGGGGGGGGGGTAACGGGGGGCTGCTGTAAGTGCAGGAGCATCAGATAGAAGGTTAGAGTTACATTAAAGATGTTTGAGTCATCCCTTTTTCTACACATAAATAAAGTGTAACAGAAATCACAAACACGCTCTCTTCACTGTCCAGTACTGACACGTTTACAGACTGGAGGTGTGATAGCTGGGGGGGTCGATCTTTGGTGCAGAGGACCTGATTTTCAGGTTTTTAGGGGGGCCGGTATGTTGTTAACATTATGGAAACATGAGGGAAATGTGCTCGGGGCTTTGACTGTAAACAGAAACAAAGCCTTTCTACAACAGTTGAAGCACATGACTGCGGAGGGAATGCAAACTTCAAAATGTTTTTTGATGAAGCTTAAAGTTTATTTTGGGGGGAGTTTTATGCCTTTTTTTTTTTTAGAGATAGGACAGTGGACAGAATCAAACCCGGGCAGCCGGATTAGAGGACTATAGTATGGTATAGGGACATAACTGGGAAGAGGTTTTTTTTAGATATTTGGACATTATAACAAAGAATTGAGGCTGTTATGGGATTCATTCTGTGTTTTATACGATCTCTTCTTATGATTTTTTGGGGTCTTTTTTGCCTTTATTGAATAGGACAGCTGAAAAGAGAGCAAAGGGCCAAGATCGGATTCAAACAGACGGCCACTGCGCCTCTGTATGGGGCGTGAGACATAACCGCTAGGCTATCTGGTGTCCCTCTACTTATGCTTTGTATTCTCAGAGTTTAAGACAAATGTCTCTGCTCATGGAAACATTAAAGTATATCTTAACTTACACTATTCTGAGTTGTTGCAGTAAAAAACTATTGTCAGCGCATAGATACAGAACACCTGAAAAGTTTATCTTCCAAAACATCAGACTGATCTTTAAACCATCTTATAACAATCTTTATATAATCCTGTGTCCTCCTCTACCACAGTGGCTCGTGTACTCTCCTAATGTGTGATTGTTTGAATTAAAGCAGAGCACACTGCCAAGAAGGAGGGCTTGTTTTCATTTAAAAAAGAGGGATGGGTTTGTTTAAGAAACAGAGAGAGAGAGAGAAGGGAGGGGGCGGAAGAGAGAGAGAGAGAGAGAGAGAGAGAAGGAGGGGCGGAAGAGAGAGAGAGAGAGAAAAGGTGGGGGTTGATGAGATCATTTTCTTGGCCTGGATGAATCAGCTTTTCTGTCAGTAAAGACGCAGAGAATTTAACACTGTGAATCCACACTTCAGGATATCAGCTGCAGTGTTTCCCGGTGGGATAAACTAAGAGGCCCGACCTGCTAACTGTATGTCATCAAGGGCAACAAAAAAAAAGACCTCTAACGGGTAAAGCTGTGAGCAAGAGGAGAGAAGATAGAATGACCTACCTGCTATTTATAACCAAGTAAAGAGTCATTAGTTCTTGGTTTTTTCCCTCTCCACAGGAACAACAGAGGAGAGGAGCAGAAACAGCACAGGACTGGAGCTGGAAAAAAACAGTTTAGAGTCCTGTTCTGAAACATCTTCAGGAGGCTACGACTCACTCAGACAAGAAACATACAGATGTGTTGACTGTTTCTAAACCATGCGAAAGGTCGTATTGTCTTTGATTGAAGCATCTTTTTAGAGAAACTTTAACTTCTAAATAGAAAATACTGCAAAGAATGTAACAACTATTACTTTCACAGGCAGGATTTTTAGTTACCAAAGAGGTCAGGTATGAAAAGAAAACATCAAAGAGCTAAAAGATAGTGTTGCTAGTCATGTGTTGGCCAGATGTTAATAAAATGCACCAAGGTTTGACATCTGTGATTAATAATGATGTTTATCCAGCCGGATCGCCTTTGAGGGAACCCTGCTCATGAATGAATATCTATAACCAGTTTCTTTCGTTCAGAGGTGAATCCAGCATAAAGATAAGCTCAATGTGAGTTATGTCTCTGAGTACTGTTCACTGTCAATTGGTCGGGACTGTTTTATGAAAATCTGAAAGAAAAAACGTTTTTTTTTTCTTTTATAAGCAAACATTGTGATGCTTTGCAAGTCAGTTCCTTAAGTTCTCTGTGTGAGCAAGGAGACAAAACGTCAATGACGCAGAAGCCCAGGAAGTCTCCTCTGATTCACAGCTGCTGGATCAGACTTCTACTCAGACATGCGCCACCTGCTGGCAAGAAAAGCATCAGCATCACTCTAAGAGCTACTGACATCCCCATCTAGGAGGAATAATCAAAAAGGAAAAATAGCAGCGACACTATGGCAGATAGTTCAGTCCCTTACACTAAAGTCAAACCTCCTGGTCATTGTAAGAGGAATTAAGAAATTAGATCTCAGGTTACACCACCAGGACAAATCCATGACCATCAGTGGACCTAAAATACCTCTGCATAACTGTTCTACTAAATACTTCCTACACTCCTACCTCCAAATTTAAATTATAATTTGTATTCATTTATTTGTAAATGTGTTCTTGTGCATTCATAAATGTGGACGTGCTAATATTCTGTGTTGTTTGTTCTTTGCTTTTTAACCCTCATGTTTGTTTTACTTTTTGGAGGAATAAGTTGTATTGTTGTTTGTGATCTCAAAAAGCCTACAATTAAATATTACAATTTTATGGGGCGGTTGTGGATCAGCGGGAGAGTCGGTCTTCTTAACAGGAAGGTCTGGGGTTTGATACCCGGCTCCTGCAGCCACATGTCCGATATGTCCTTGGGCAACACAGTTAACCGAAGTTGCTACCGTTGATCGTCAGGGGCAACACAACTTTTGCAGAGCTTCTTTATCTGGTGTTCTACAATGTTGAGGTCACTGCTTTCATCACCTCTAAAAACCATGACGTATGACTCATGACACTCTGCAGCCCCTCCTCTCCACCTACACATCTAATTATTCACTACAGGTCTTTTCTCTGTTCTGACGGAGCAACACTTCGAGGGAATAAAGCCAAAATACCAACAAAGTCAAATCAGTAAAATTTTATTCCCAAATTTGTCACCGTACAATATCAGTTATGGGAAAGGGGAGGCAAATATGTCAACCAATGAAAGCATTTAGCATCACAATACAAGAGCAAAACTCATCTGCATACATAAAAAAACAAAAACATGTACAATATAAGATGTAGCATAAACATGGGTAAACTAAAATAGAAAAAAATGGAAACACGAGTTGAATAAAACCGCAAAAAGATGTTTGAGAGCAGTTCTATAAATGTAAATATGGAATCATAAATTAAAAATTCCTGTCTTAAAAATCTAATTCCTCAAGGAGGAACAGTCAAGAAGTTCTTCAGTATGGTCGCTCTCTGCGCTCCTGGCGATGGTCCCTAAAAAAACGAAACAAACAAATGATTTTAACTTATTTTGATCTGTTCTAGTAACAGGTTTGCATTCATCTACTTTGGCAACTCTGATGCAAAGGATCATGACCCTACCTCATATCCATCTTGCCACCTGGTGGGCCCATCCCTCTTCCACCTCTGCCACCCATGCGGTCCATTGGTGGACCCCCTCGCCCAGCCCCACGGAAACCTCCCCTGTCCATTCCTCCGCGTCCTCTGAATCCACCGCGGTCCCCTCCCCAGGATCCACGGAAACCTCCAGGGCCACCGGGCCCACCGCCTCCTGCGGGCCCACCACGGTCCATACCTCTGCCTCCGCGCATTCCCATTCCTCCTCGGCCTCTGTCACCGCCAGGGGGAAACGGAGGGCCACCTCCTAGCCCCTCGGGTTTGGGGGCTTTGCACTGGTTACACTCCATCCTCCAGGCAAAGTTCTGGTTGCCACAACCCCTGAGGACAGATCATTAAATCTTTAACAAATCTTTCAGAGGTCAGAGGTCAACAAAACATACTGCAGGGTTAATACATACGGGTTCGGGCACTCCCAGTCCCCGGCTCTTTGCTGCATGTTGCCTCCAGTGGGTCCACCTCTGCCCATTCCACGTGGACCACCGCGTGGACCAAACCCACCGCGGTCTCCTCCACGGCCCATCATACCTAAGGAGAAATTACAGCATTGTTTTTCACAGCTAGACCTCGAGTTCATCGAGATAATGTGGTGAGGGTCCCACATCACAGAAGAGCGTCAACAGCTTCTCAAGGATCACATGACAAACACTGCTGACATTTACCTCCACGGCCCATCATGCCATCTCGCATAGGCATGCCTCTCATTCCGCCCATCATGGGCTTGCGGCGTGCCATGGACACCTTGAGCCTTCTGCCCTGGTACTCCTTGCCTTTAATTAAAAATAGAATGTTAATAGTGGCTTTGATTCTACACGGTGGTTTTGTTTCTGTTCAGGTCTGATGGTCAGCTTTCGTTATAAGTACCATCAAAATGCTCCACGGCCGCTTTGGCACAGACTGGCTCCTCGTAGGACAGAGTGGCATCTCCTTTGGGCTTCCCACTGTCCTTGTCGGTGTAGATGTTGATGGCAGGCTGGCCAAGTCTGCGGTTAATCTTGACACGCAAAGAGATTTTGTTTAATCTACTTTCCAAAGGAGTGTTACTTGAAGCCAAAGTTTAAGAGCACGGCGCTTTTCTTACTCTGATTGGGCCAACATGTTTGAAGAACTCAGCCATCTCCTCCAGGTTTGCTTTCTCAGTCAGTCCTGTGATGTAGATCGTGCTGTTCTCAGAGTCATCCTGCTCTTCAGGGCGTCCTACAACAAAAACACAAGTGTGCGTTAAGTATGTCGTCTTTTCTCATTTAAATGTTCAGTTTATGAATCATGGAATAACAAACCCCACGCACCCATTTCACGCTCGTCTCCGCCCATAGGTCCTGTAGTCCATCGTTCGAGGAGAGGAGACAAATTGAACATAGTAAGTGCATGCAACGGATTTTAAGTGTACAAAACCTGACGGGTACTACCAAAAATAATCCAGACATTTCCTTATAAATGTGGTCAGTCATATATTGGGTGGTTGAAAAAAAAAAAATATGGCACCTTATGGTACACCACAAACCCCACAAGTGATATATTGAATTGAAAATGGAACACCTCAGACGCTTTGGCAAAAAGATGGTGTAAAAGCCTCTTAGACCAGTTAGAAATCCTAATAAATCCCAGGTATTCAGCTCAGGAGATTTTGTAAAGCAGTAACAGACACATTCGAGTGGAAATTTGTCATTAACCTCAAAAAGTCATCGTCGAACCATAAGCAGTGACTGAATTATTCAAAAGTACCCCAGAGAAAATGGTCTCAGGCATTGAAATAAAATTCCCCAAATATTTTCAGATGTGTTCACATGTATAATTTTTGCATACCACAATGTAATGTTGGAGGGTACTGTTCTCTTTAAGTTTAAGGCTTTCAAAGGACTAACCAGTGTAATACTCGTTAACTTACCACCAGGCTTACTGAAGCCACCTCTGTCTCCGGCGCTGCTAGGGGGGAATAAATGGAGATATGAAGGCGATTTCCTTTTACAGCCACTTCCATGGCTCGAGCAAAGTGGCTTGATTGAGGGATTAATGAAAACATTCTAGCTAGCCCAACAAAAACTTAATAAAATCTCCCCCAAATTAAAACTACACAATCTTATTTGAGGGGATTAAGAGTTTTAACTATGTGCAGTTCCTTCTTCGTTAGCTTAGCACAACTTCAGTTACAGTTTGTAGTAGTAGACACACATTTGTGCAAAAAACATGAGTTACTGTCTAACATTTTTTCACTGCCTCTCAAATGTGAAAACCCAAAACATTTGTACACAGGTGAAAAGATTTTAGATGCATTGAGTGAATAGAAATGTTAACCAAAAAACACAAGTTACCACCCTGATAACACAAGTTCTGACAAAAGTTTAAGCTTAAGTTTGTTGTTTAGAGACAACACATCTGAAATGTTACAAAGGGAACAGGTGATGACATTCACCAGGTAATAAAATAAATACATTTACACGTTTAGAGAAATCAATACCAAAAACAAAACAGATTAACCAATGTTATCTTTAAGTAAACACACAATCTTAGTCATTAATAGAACCATCATGCTTATGAAAAAAACCATCGTCCTCAGTTCTTGAAAAAAGGCAGACCCCCGAATCTTTGTTTAAGCTCCCTCCTGCTGCTTAAAGCTGGCGGCTCTGTACTGAGTACAGATACTTTAAAGAGAATAGATGGTTTTAATTGGCTCTCACTGTTACCTGTACGGTATAAATGTGACAAAGCATGTTAAAAAGTGCTCAGAGAATGACCAAAACATTTGTATTTCAAACCACAAACAGTGTAAACATTTCAAAAATGACAATGTGCCCACCCCCAAAACCTCCCCCCCAAGAACAAAGACTTTCCTGTGCTAAGATAAAAATAGACTAAAATGGAAAATTAACTTTAAAATCTTTGCTGCTGTGCATCATATTCAGAAATGTTTTGAGTGTTTCTTATTAATGCTTTGGCTTCTTTGCATTCTTAGTTGACAACTGGATTTGACTCCTGTATTACTAAAATAAAACATTTCACTGAATTGTCTCACTGACTTTCTGTTTGTGTACTTCCTGAAATATAAAACCCAAAAAGGCAAGTCATGCAGGGCTCTACTACTTTGAAAAGGCTGCATTGATCAAGTAAGATGAAACTGAATGAACTGCTGTACCGCTTTTAAAGAACAAAAAGTATTTTTTGTACATTTCCAACCCAACACTGAGGATTCAAAGTCTGAGAAAAACTCTTAAAATCAAGTCACGCAGCTGAAAAACCCTCATGGTAAATACTTATTTTGGGGAGTGCCTCAGTAGTATTTGAGAAATCAAATATGTGGATTTTAAGAAGTATTTTGTATAGTGTTATAAATAACCTAAACCAAGGCGTAATACAACCTCTCTCTTTGTAACCCTCATTTCTCGTCAGGAGAACAGTACAGAAAAATCTGATAGATTGGGTCAAACCATTTCCACCTATAGGGAATTGTTCAAAAATAAACTACCAGGAAACGTCTCAAAAGCGATACCAGTTAGTGTGTTAAAAACCTGCCCAATCCAGTTCCAAACCGACCACCAAGAGGAATACAATAGAAAAAGAATAATAAACCTGCAAGCCAGCTTTTGTTGCCATGCTGAGGTGAGACTGGATTATGGTCTATCAAGTTGGACTGAGTGTGTGTAAACCATGATAAACCCTCCAGAAATCCTAAAATACTGATAGAGAACAACAATTGTTGTCTAAACATGCCCTGTACTCTGGTACCATCCTTAGTGAAAAACTGACCTTTGATGTGAACACTGGCACCATCTGCTAAAGGCCAATCAGAGACTCTTGAGAAAGCTGAGGGGTTTTAATGTCGACAAATCTCTACAAATATTTATTCATCTTTTATCGATTTTTAAACTTTGTGATCTGCTGGTCTGTTAACCTCAGTTAGTAAGCAAAAACAAAGGCCATCCTGGAAGACCCTTCTGCCGACAGGGAGGAGTTTCACATGTTAGGAGGGTCGAATCAAATACATCTGAGGTCGTTCATCCAATCAGCAGTTGGGTTTCTAAATGAGCTGTAGGCATTGCTGACTGTACACTTATACTATGGACTGTAGGTCTTTGTGTCCCGTATCTCACTCAAACCTTTATTTAATCCTTGAAAGTCGGTCACGTTCATCATAGTGATACCCATGGGAATTGTGTTTTATATATTAGGGCTCGGCTGATTTTTGGGGCCGATATGTCTCTGAGATGTATGGTAGATCTGCAGATATAGATAAACGCATATATTGCGTTAATCCCTCAAATGCAGTTATTAAACACTTGTGGAAGAGATATATATAATGAAGACAAGATGGTCACTCAACTGGAAAGTAACAGTGCATGTATGTGCGTCACCACTTGACACTCTGGGGAGTGATCATGCTTGTTGTAATCCACGGACACTTCAATCAAATGCTATTTGACTGGTAATTAAATAATTATATCAGTGCATATCTGCAATTTAATTAGGCGATATTCACTTGATATGCTAATATCGGCCGATGTTATCGGCTGGTCGATTAATCACTCAGGCTCTATTTAGAGTGTATTTATGCTGTTTTATGATGTGTATTGCTGGTATAGACCTTGAAATTACCCATTGGGGACAGTCAAGATTTTCCAATCCAAAACAAAACAGTTTTGCAAATTGATTAGGTGTGTTTTCCCCTCCTTACAGGTCAGTGTACCACCAAAAATGAATTATTAAAAAAAAAAAAAACCTGCATTTGCAAAACTAGCACAAAACTTGTATCAAATTGACAGACGAATTGTATCTAAGAGGAATATAAAACCATTAAAAAAAACCTGAATTGTCTCAAAAACTCACAGCCCAAAAACCTGAATCAAGACATAAATTCTTTCTTTCAGACAAAGACAGGCTATAACCAAAAATTTGATTTGGACTTGGGTTTAATTTGTCTCTGTAGTTGATACAAGACTCGCCTTTAGAGAATAACCATGCTATATTAATGCTTCATTTTGTCCATGCTCATTTCATTGACCAAATACTTAATGCCAGAGACAGCGTCACAAAAACCAACCAAACTGAAAACACCAGTTAATTTTGTGTTATAAAAGAAAGGAAAACCCTTATCATGGGAGAGATCAATTGACCCAGATGTTGCTTTGGGGTACGGGTAAATCTGTATTTGGATAGCAACAATCCCTATTTATAGATTCCTTACAAATAAACCTTGATTTCTAAGTTCTCACACAACACACTCCGTTTAAGTGAAAGCCTCCAGCTTCACAACAATTGGAGAAAAATAAATAACCAGGATGTTTTCTTTTAGAACTTTTAACTTCATTTTCACATTTTTCCTATGTTGGTAATGACATATATTAATGATAAGCTAATTTAAAAAGGTTTCTAAATCAACGATGCAGTTTCTAAAACTTCCTTTAAGAAACCTCTAAGTGGTTTGCAAAGTTATCTACCAATTTCCCCAAGGAACCATGAAATATACAACCTCCCTTGTCTAAAACTTGTTGATATTTAAGACATTATCAAATTTTGTTTGAGAATATAAGCTGTTCACTCTAAATCTTATGCACAGGTCCCTGATTCAAACCTTCTTAAAAAAGGAAAACCCCCTTTCTTACCTTTGGCCAAATGAAAGGCAGGGCTGAAACTACATGAGATGAGTGATATTTTCTGCCACTGCTGGCATGTTTGTAACCTTTTAACTTGGGCCTCAGGAATTACTTGAGAACTCATTTGTTTCATTTTTATCCATTGTAAAATAATAAATTCAAAAATCATAGTAGTATATTCTTCCAATTGTTCCTGATATGGACTTCATTCAACCCTGCCCCAAGTGGCCTCAGCACCTGTGAAGTCAAAATAAGGTTAAGTACTAAGGAAAAACACATACCCCATGCCGCGGCCCATGCCTCCACGCCCACGATGCATCATTCCACCTCTGTCAAAGCCGTCTCTGCCGGGGCCCCTGCTGTCACCTGAACCAGAGTACCTGGAAGATTCAGAGCCAGAGTAACTGGAACCTCCGCCCTGGCCATCCTGTCTGTAGTTGTCTGCAAGAGTGGAGCACAAGTATGTGTAAGACCTTTAGTCGTGTCAACTGTTTCATTAAACTCAACTGTTCAGAACAGCAAAGCTTACTGTAATGGTTGTTTTGGTTGTAACTGGGTGGTCCACCTTGCTGACTGTACTGGCTGGATGGAGGCTGCCCATAGGAACCAGCAGCCTGAGGAGGGTAGGCAGGGGGAGCCTGTTGCTGCTGCTGGGCCTGCTGCTGATAGCCCTGCTGGCCGTAGCTGGCCTGCTGGGCCTGATAGCCAGGCTGTTGCTGGCCATATGCCGCAGGCTGGGAGTAGCTACTTTGGTTGTAACTAGCCGGCTGGCTGTTAGCATTGTAACTGAAAGGGACAGAGAGAAAGCGAAGTGTAAAAAAATAAGAAGCTAAGTTAGTTAATGTGGATTTCCCTTGTAGCGTAATCGCTAGGTAACCTACCTCTGTGGTGCAGTAGGAGCAGCCTGCTGGCCATAACCAGGGTATGCAGACTGGGCAGTATACCCTGGCTGTGAGCCGTAGGACTGGGAGGCAGCAGGAGCAGCAGCAGCAGGAGTACTTTCATAAGCACTGGCTCCATAACCTTGGGCTGACTGGGAGTAGGTATGAGTGGTAGACTGGGCAGCAGGATAGCCAGCTGTAAAAATAAATAAAATAACACAAGAAGCAATAAATACATCAAGAAATACGAAGCATAATCTAGACATGTTTGTATTTGTTGAGACATTGTGCCTGTGAGGCTCATATCTGAATTCACACTGATTTAAATCTTAGGGTATGTTTAAACTGTTCTTATTCAGAATGAGAGCAGTGCATCAACCAGAGAGTTCCTTCTTCAAATCAATAACCACTTTCTCAAAAGTTTCTACGTTATTATTAACTGACCTGCTGCTGGCTGCCCATAAGAGGACCCATACTGCTGTTGCGTCTGGGTGTAGCCTCCAGCTGCAGGTGTTGTCGTGCTGTAGCTAGCATCGGCAGCAGCAGCAGCCGGTTGGGCATAAGACCCATAATTCTGCTGACCATAGCTTTGCTGAAATAAAGAAAAAAGGGGGTTTTATCTGCAAGAAATAAATGAACAGGTAAATTCTGACCAACATCTCACATCTTCAGGAAATGTGATAATGCATGCAACATACTACTAAACCATCTTAACCAGACACATCATCTACTTCCTGTTGAGCAGTACTAGTTATGTGTAGGTTAGACTCAGCGCAATTAAAGCACAATCCATGTTTCTATTTATGTGAATGTTTTTATTTTTTATTTTTTACATCAGATCACTTGCAAGCAGGAAGCAACTTCCATCAGCACAAATAATACCCTGCAAAGTGAATCTCACCTGTGCAGACTGCCCATAACTTTGTGAGGGCTGGGCAGCATAAGAAGCATACCTGTAATTAAAAAAGACAAAAGGTAGGAGTGAGCGGAGGAAGGGTCCATCTTTGATAATAGATATTATCGATAAAGCCATGTACAATAAATGTGGAAACAAAACTTCAAAGTCCCCATCTGTTCCTTAACGTAAAAGAGAATGATTTTTAGAATTTATTTTCACAACTGCTGTCTTTATCACCCCTTTGATTTTTTTTAAACCTAGCAGCACTGAATGCTACACATTCAAGTTTAAGTTCTCTTTATTAATCAAACACACAACATAAGAGGCAAAGCAGTTACAGCTGGCAATGAAATGTTTGTGTTTCCAAGCTCGCCTTAACAATGCAAAAATAAAAAATAGTATAGAAGATGAGAACAACGTACAGAACCAAAAGTTTAAATACAACTAGAATATATGTACAGTATATATAAGTAAAGTATCTCAGACAGTATATATATGTAGTGCAGAGACATACAGGACTGGTTTTAATCAATCAAAAATGTGAACACCTTTGATAGTATTTAATCTGAGTGCATGTTTGTCTGTTGTTGTGTATTGTTGTAGCTGTGCTGTCTAACCCATCGTGGTTTGTATGAAAACTGGTTGTTTATATGGTTATCTGTTTTAATGGAGTCAGTTTATCTGCATCATGTTGTTATCTGTTGTTATGTTTTCTTTAACATGTTTTTATTTTTTTAGCCACCCTGTGCTAGTTTAACATCTAGCCAAAGGACTGCAGTTGAAAATTAGACTGGCACATGTACAGAAATGTTGATTAAAGTGCTCTGTCCTTTAAATAAATAAATAAAAACAGTTACTTTGTTTGTGCAGAAATAATCCACTTCAATGATTCAAACAACATTAATCTGATTATTGAGATAATTAAAGAGTCTTACCCCTGCTGAGCAGTGGACTGGTTGTAGGAGCTGTAATCTGCTGGAGAAAGAGCACACATTGGAGACATTTAAAGACTCAGTTTAACATTTAAAATAACAAAATAACCAGTTTGCGCGCCAGCTTCGCGGCTAAAGCTAATGCTAACAGCACGACGCCATTCATCTCCACCAACCATTCATCAGACAATACGATCAAACTGACACAAACATGGAGGAGATAACACACACATCACACTTAGAAAGAGTTCGTAGTTAAATTGGGATCTTGTTTGTCCTTTGTAAACTCGTTAAGCACCAGGGAGGAAGATAAAATATAATCTCTTAAATCGCCGACACGGCTGGTTGAGCTAACACAACTAGGCCTCACGCGTTGCTAACGTTACACTTTGTTTTAGGCTAACTGGAGCGAGAGGGTCGTAAAAGAACACGTAATGTCTTTAAAAATATATCATACTGAGTGTTTGTATAAACTGGATTCAAAAAGCATTTCTCCAAACAGTCTAAAACAGCACATTTCTTTACTCACCCGGAGCCGACGCCATTTTAGTGAGCCTGTGAAAGACGACTGGACGGAACTGGCTGCCGGAGCAGTGTTCTTCTCCTCCACAGGATCTACGAAATCTCGCGAGATTTTGTGAGCCAACAAAAAATAGGTCACCACCATCACCTCACAGTCTACGGTTCACCACTCTCTCGTGTTTACGTAAGCTTTCAGGATTTCTTACTCACAACACCAAAGTTATCAGCTCAGCTCCCTCCTTTAAGCTTTTTCTAATTTAATTAGAAAGCCGTTTTGAGTCTCTTGTATTAATTAAGATAAGATCATCCTTTATTTATCCCACAACGGGGAAATTTACAGTTAATAACAAAATAATAATGATAATAATAATAATAACAAAAAATAATAATAATAATAATAATAATAATAATAGCAATTAATAACAAAACAATCTATGTAAATTATTTCAATTTATTCCGAACTTTTTTCTAAATGAGTCTGTTGAAGAAATCGTTATCATTATTATTATTATTATTATTATTTTTTTATAAATGTTCTTGTACATATGTTCTTTTGTAAACTGGCATGTCTGAATGTTTAATTCCATATGTCAATAAAGCAATAAAAAATGAATGAAACCAAACAATGTTGGGTACATTTTAAAGCCGGCAACAAGCCTGATATGCTACATTACAAATATATAGCTAATGTAGTTCAAAAGTTTATATGAATGAACTACTCGTCTTTGAGTAGTTTTGGAGCTTCATCATCAATAAAGGTAGAGAGATGCTGCAACCTGTGCGAGTCCACACTGATGTGAGGAAATGGTGTAACAAAGTGTCAGAACTAATTCTAATTAAAATGACTGTACTAGGTATTGTAGTATCAGAATGTATAAGATGAAAACTGTCAAGACATTTCCAAAATGAAAAGAACTTTGTATCTCATAACCTTGTATACGTCTACTCAAAAGTTACGAGTGATGTGAACTATTAGCCTCGTAGTTATGCAGCTTGGGACCACTTGACTAAACCTAAAAAAAAAAAAAAAGCTTAAAATATGGTTTCTACACACAACTTCTCTAAAAGCTATATCATCAGGGACAATGCTGAATCAATATTTACAGCGTTACCATGTGAAGAAATGTATAAATAGCCAAATAGTCATGAATCGGTCAAGGGGGCTTTTTTGCAGAACAAACACTTAACCAGCAACTAGTCACAGAGAGGAATCCAGAGAATGTATTTAGATAATGGCTTAAACAATGAAGAGCCTATATTATCAACATTTGCGTCAAACATTTTATCCTTACTTTACTCTATTGTATGAAAGTTTTCACTTCTAACTTTTCATAAGACAGGTCCAACAAGCAGAAAGATTTTGACTTTTCTGCTTTTTATGTAAACCTTCTCTCTGTGTGTCAAATAGGTGTCACCTTTACTCTAAGGTTTGTAAAAACTGATATTTTGATGTGATATTGAGAAATATAATCCTTTACTTCTATTTATACAGATGGTTTAAAATAAAAAAGAAATACAGGTTTTGCTTTTGTCGTCCCAGAATTAAACACAAGCTATGAGGAAAGGACACCAGGTCATTTAGAAATATAACACAGTTGAAATGTTGGCAATCAGAATGGCGTTGCAGTGGATGGAGAAAATAAACTGGAAAAAGTTATAATGTGTTCACATTCATTATCTTCATTGGTATCATTACAGTCTATATGTGATCAAAAAGCAGATTGGATAGGTACAGGTACCATCTCACAGGGTGAATACAGGGGAATGAAATGGCTGACCATGTAGCTTAACGAGTCCTAAGGAAAGAAACAGTCAGACTCTCGTAGTCCAAAGAAAAATCATGTCTGCTGAGAAATAGATTTAAGATTTAAAGCAAAAAGGGATGCCTGATCCAACCTTCACATCAGGACCATAAATCTCGAGAATCTTTGCCTCTGTCGCCACCTGGTGGTTGAACGAAACACTCCATACAATCAATCCCTGACCCCCCCTCAATCTGCAGAGCCCTTCTGAACACCTGCGCACTTAGTGATATTGATGATGAGGAGGATGATATTTATGATGGTTTTAATGCTGATTAGATCTCTCAAGATCGAGAACAGTTGTCGATGCTGTGCTTTTCCTCTGGTCACTTCCTGTCAGCACCTGTGTGTCCAATCAGACTTAATAAGAACAAGAGGAAAAAAACAGTGGAGAGAAAACAATCCCAATGAGCCTTTATGACCAGAGGACCAACAGGTTTAAATAAAACAATGAAATTAAAAGGCAATCATCAATCAGGTTTGTGGACAAGATGAAGAAACAGCAGACTGAATATGTTATTTTGAATTGCCAGAAATATAAAACGCAGAGAGAAAAGCTGAATGAGGAGCTGAGGAAATGTGGGGTAAAAAAAAACGAGTTTTAAAAATGTTTTAGATATAGTGGAAGGTACGACAGAAGATTAGGGCCACTTTAAAAAACTTAGAAAAGTCGTAAATTTACGAGAATAATCTCATAAATTAACTAGTTTATTCTCGTAAATTTACGGCTTTAATCTCGAATTTCTTTTATTTTTATTTCATTTATTTGTATCATTATTGTTTCCCCGTCCCCTAATAGTAAAAGGTTTTCCATCATAGCGGGTGGCGGTAATGCACCAAAAACCACCCGCAACTAAACAAAAAGAAGAAGAAGAAAGTGTGACGTAGGCGGAAGTCGTTATCATATTGCAGTAACGTTAGCTCACCCGGTAGTCTAAACATTTACACCACAGTGTTTGTCTTATTTACGAACATTTCTTTCTGCTTATCTTATCAGAAAAGCGGTTTAACTCGTTGGCTCGTCGCACGATTACAAAACTCTCCTTTTCCCTGAAAGAGAAGATTTGAAAAGACAGACTGTGAAGGTTCTGCTGCAGCTTTAGTGCATTTTAAAACCTTTATTTGAATGAACCAGTTGCAGCTGTCAAAGCTTTAGGGAATGATTTACTGCATGCATGCTATGATCACATCAGATTATTATAAACATGGAGTAAGAGGAAACATTTGAGTGACTCCTGCATGATGTTTGATGTCTTCATGTCTGTGGGGTTCTGGTTTGGATCAGGACGTCCTGGTTTCTGTCTGGGAACATGTTTACTGATGACTCTCATGCTGCTGATGTACGCAGGAGGCATCCAGGCCAGCCTCAGTTTAGGTCCAGGTGGAAACTTCCCGGGGATCAGAGGTAAAGACGCGTTCTGATATGTGAGTGTGTGATGAATCCCATCAATGACTCAGTCTCTCCTTCTCTTCTTCTTCTTCTTCTTCTTCTTCTTCTTCACAGATGTGTTCCTGTATGCGTTCAGCCACGATGAGCCGTCTTCTCTCCTGGTCAGTGTTGCCCTCCTGCTGCTGTTCGGACCCTGCCAGGAGCGCCGCTGGGGGTCTGTCGCCTTCCTCGCCCTCTCCGTCCTCACGCTGGCCACGCTCCCTTTACTCTACACCCTGGTCCTGTTCGTGGGCGGGGCCGAGGCGAGTCGGATCTGTGGCTACTCTGCCATCCAGCTGGCTCTGTTCACGGTGCAGTGTCGTCAGGTGACGCAGAGACGGCTGCTCAGGTGCTTACCTGTCTGGTTTCTCCCCTGGCTCTTCTGCTGCTCGGTCTGCTGCTGCTGCCGGGGACGCCCGCCCTGCTTCACTTCTGCACCATATGCATTGGGCACAACTGTATCCTTAACGTGCACGTACACAAAACTACTCTTTGTATTTACATTTTAAGAAAAAGTGAATTTTAAACAGCACTTTCCTTTAGACTCAGAACTGTCATCTGTCTGACTTTAATGTTTTTATTTGAAGGCCTGAGACAACTTACACCCTGTTGTTCTTAAGGTCACTTAAAGGCTTTGTATGTGATCTTTCACACTTAAATATAATATAAATCAAGTATCTCCTCTGAAAATAACTCTCTGAGTCATGACTGTCTACAATGGGTGAAACACCCGAGTCCCACTGTCTGTGATGTTTTCAGAGTCCTATCTTCACTTTGTTTACATCGCCAGGACGGCCGGCTGACTCCTCCCCTCGTGTATAAAAGTTGTTTAATTGAGGGACTAGAGAAAAGAAGAATAACATACTGTACTCACTGCTTAACTGTGTTTCTAGATCACGCTCATTTCAGGTAAATTTACATGCAGTGTGAAGATACCAGCATAATAAAGATCGCTAGCATTAGCATGCTAACACAACAATGCAGCACGAGTTGTTTTGGTTTCATGCTGGTGCTCAAGGGCGACATCTGCTGGATCAAAAAAATCACATATAAAGCCTTTAAATTAAGATTGAATAGCTGTTTTATTTGATGCTGACGGTCTACCACTCGCCTGTATTCTGACGCAGGATTTTCCATTCTCAAAGTAACTTCAGGGTTCATTTTGCGGTTTTTCAGGACTGCAAAGGTGGTTCAGATCACCATGGTAACCTAGAGGAGGTAACGTTTGTGATAAGACGCCACCCATTGACTCATCAAGTCTCTCGGTCGCAGACGTTTGTGAGCTGATTACGAGAGGTGAGGAGAGCGACCTGCAAAACACTTTACGATCACTGTGCTCTCTTAACGTGCTCATAGAAACTCTGGCTCAACTTACCGGACTGATAACAATGTTTGTGTGACCGTTAAGCGCAGTCTTTGGTTAGGATAGCAGTAGTTTAGTAGATAGTTTTGGAGCGCAGACGATACTTAACCACTCTCTCAGATCATCAGCCTTTCATCGGGACGCTGCAGGAGTGGGAGGAGTTCAGTTTCTTGGGTTTAATACCTGATTGGGCTTATGTGTCGACATCCTCCAGGCTCAGATTACCGACGCACTCTACCTCACAGAGGTGCTTATTTGTTTTGTTTTTCATCCAAATATATTTACTCTTAGCTCGCCTCATCCATCAAAGGGGAAGATCTCATCACTTTTAACTCTCACCTGTCGCAGCTCCATCAGGAGGCCCGTGGATCAGGCTGCAGCTCCTCCACCCGTTAGGGATCCCTCTTTTTTCAACTACCACCCTCAGGAGCATCCGATTCCCGCCTGGCTAACACCCGAGTCTGCTGCACAGTCTGAAGCTGCCATGTTGGAGGAGCAGATGCTGAGGGCAGGGATACTGGCTTCACTACAGGACGCTCCTGACGACCCCGATGCCAAAGTGGAGGTTCCCAAATCATCCGTTTCCTCTCTGCGGTTAGTAAGGATTGAATCCCTTTTTTTTTGTTGTTGTTGTGAGTCCTCCCTTATTTTTGAGATGTCAAGTCATTTTTTATTTTTTCTATGTTTTAATCTCTTAGACTCCAGCAGCTGGAGAAGATGGGCTTCCCCACAGAGAAAGCTGTAGTAGCATTAGCGGCCTCCAAACAGCTAGATGGCGCCATTTCTCTGCTCATCGATGACAGCGTTGGAGAACAGGCTGTGATGGTGTCAAAAGGAAAGAGCCCCGTGTCACCTCAGGGGACATAGTGGACATCATGAACTGAAGCAGTGTTTGCTCTGACTGCAGGAACTGGACTTATTTAACGCTTGGGTTTTGCTGAGCTTCACGATCCGATCCGCCCTGTGGGCTTCTTGTGAAAGGATGTTTAATCACCGATATTCATCTGGAAAAACAAGAGCGAGGGAGGACTTGTGTTTCTCTCTTTGGGACAAACAGACAATTCTGTATCACAAAAATCTACATTAGAGCCGCATGATTCATATTTAAAAAACAGGATCTCGATTCATGCACACACGAGATCTCATGTCTTTCTTTCTTTTTATTTTCAGGGGTTTTCAGGCCTTTATTGTAGAGATAGGACAGAGGATAGAGTCAGAAATCAGGAGAGAGAGAGAGAGGAATGACATGCAGGAAAGGAGCCACAGGTCGGATTTGAACCACCTGCTTGGAGGACTACAGCCTCCGTACATGGTGCGCCTGAACTTACCACTAGGCTACCAGTGTCCCGGGATCTCATTTCTAAAAGATGAAGATTCTCTTGCTTGTATTTCCCTCTGCATTCAGTACAGATCACATGTTCACCTATCTGTCCTCACAACTATCCCCTCTGTTAAATCAGTCCCTCACACAGCGTGAAGCTAAACACACATTTGATTCATCAGGCCGTAGACTTCCCTCTGACTCTGCCTTGTTTACGTTAATTACTCTAAAATAAGAATGTATTATCAGGAGGCTTTTCAGTTGAAGTGCAGCTTTTTAAGGTATATAAGGTGTGTCTGTTGACATGGACAGACTAGACGGCACATGTTTTAATGTTTTTGTTATAAAAAAAAACAAGAATCGTGATCTCAATAAAAGGGAGAAAAATCGTGATTCAGATTATTTGAGCAAGAATCCTGCAGCCCTGTACATCACAGAGGTTGGATGTTAATTATTGTTACTATTTTTAGCTTTGGCTATTTCTTCACTTAGAGACAGGACAGTGGATCGAGTCAGAAATCAAGGAGAGAGAGAGAGAGAGAGAGCGGAGGACGACCAAGATGCAACCTCTGTTCTTGAAAAATGAAGCTAATGCAGAAGTGCAAAATCCTGCAGTTCGCAGAGCGTCTGCGGTTCATCAAGAGGGTTAAAAGCCGCCTCAGCTCCGGCTCTCAGCCCGTCGTTAGGTCGACTGAAAGTTAGACTGAGACAGGATTTCCATCATGGAGACAGCTGCCGGTGAGCCTCGTGCCATAACAGACGGCTGACGTCACTCAGGCTCTGTCCTTTAATATTTACAGTCTATGAGAACGATGTGCGGGAAAGGAGTCACACGTCGGATTCAAACCCCGGGCTGCCCGCTTCAAGGACTGCAGCTTCTGTACATGAGATGAGCACACTAACCACTCATCCACCGGCGCCACAGATGTCAAATATTTATCTTGTAATCATATTTAATAAACAAATGAAAGAGAGGGCACGTGTGTTTAAAAAACAAAAACAATGAACATCATTTTATTACATCAATCATCTAGGCAGGATTATTTTAACACAATTACACATCAGCACGATAAAAAACAAAAAAACAAGAAATAGGAAATATGAATGGTTACACAACAGCATACAAAATAAAGTAACATTGATAAAAGTTTAAATAGTTTCACAATAAATTTGATATAAGATGAAAAAACAAGTATCAAGGCTTTTCATCAGGACAGTCTTAGCAGTTTACCAGCACAGCAGTGGGAAATATGTTCAAGTTCCATTTACAGTCTCGCTGTTTCCTGTGTGTGTGTGTGTGTGTGTGTGTGTGTGTGTGTGTGTGTCTTGTATCATTATGACGTTTATATTAAAGGCAGGGTTGGTAATTTTTAAAAACTAGCATGATTTTCAAAGTAGTATTCCCTCAGTGCTTCGTCTACACCCCCTCCCCCTCCCCTCTGTGCTCCCTCTTAAGCCACGCCCCCTCACTTACGCACACGAGCGCCGTTGCTCCAGAAGCGGAGAAACTACGTTGTCTCATGTCTCGTTCAGCGGTAAGTAAACTCACAGTTCAAACTCGCGCTTTGAGTGTGAGCTAGAGCGCACAAGTGGTAGAGAGCGAGCGGGGGAGACAGGGAGGCGTCTGATTGGTTCATCAGATTGGTACCTCGTGGCAGACATTGGTTGAAGTGTTTACAGACTTACAAACTGCTACAGATGTCAGATTTTCTCCATTCTTTTTTTCAGAGAACATGAGTTATTAATGTCTGTCAGGACCTAAAGACAACTTCAACCAGAATCTTGAAAAGTCAATCTGGAGAAAATGACCGACCCCGCCTTTAAACCAAACCAGAACGTGAATATTTGTGCTTTTTTTTTTGTTGTTGCACGGATGAAATGTAAAAGAACGTATCAGTGTGTACTTAAAGGGGGGAAACACTCACGCCAGAACAAACTACAAACACTGTTAGCAACACGTATCTCAGTGAGAGTGGAGAGATGACTTCATCTTCTTAGTGCACTACATAACATTGATTTGAAAACCATATGATAGAAGAATAACAAAACCAATACTACGAGAAGAGGTTGTTTGTGTACTTTTGTATCCTGCAAACTTTACATGCGCAAATATACTTAAATAGTGTAATCTCTTCGGATTGCAGTTACATTGTGAAAGCATTACAAACTCAAATCCAGTCTGTTTCCTCACATCTGATTCCTCCTTCGGTTGATAACTCTAAAGCGACCCTCGGAGGAGCATCACATGGTCCTCACATGGAACATCTTTAATCAGAGGCTGCAGCTTTGGAGCCGAAGACATATGACACAGAAGGAGCAGCTGGGTGTGTAATGTAAAAGTCTTCAGTTATGGCGATGGGTTGGGGGGGGGGGGGGGTTGTACTAGTTCTCAGGGTCCCGATGGAGGAGGACTGTGGAGTGCCCTGAGGTGTCCCCCTTCCTAAATCTGACAGTTAAACCCCAGATAAGGTCTTAATCTGTTGAGTGTCGATGAAACCTTTAGGTAGGGGAGTCAACCCCGCCTGTGGTCCTCAGGGTGAGCGGGGGGGGTGGAGGGGAAGGGGGCAGGGCTACTTCCCTCGAACCTTGGTGTCGGAGGACAGGGGAGAAGCAAGTCGATATGGAAGCGCACCTGCTCGCTTATCTCTGTAGAAACTAGGGGAGGCTGTGCCAAACGGTCCGTCCCCAGACCCTAGATCAGGCTCTGTTGAAGAAAGAGAGCAAGTTGGAACGGGGCCTCCCTGTCCCTGTCGCCTGTGTGTGTGTGTGTGTGTGTGTGTGTGTGTGTGTGTGTGTGTGTGTGTGGACATGTGCTCTCTTTGTGCTCCTACTCCATGTTTACTCTGATTTAGAGGCTGAACTGGAGGCCTCAGGATTGAGACCTGTAGCCCAGATTTTCTTGCTAACAGTCAGAATATTTTACAAATACTTGCTTCACTTCATATGGCTAGAAGGGCTGCAACATTTATTTTCATTTACAAACACATTGGTCTGTATTTCCTCTGGGCAACTGTAACTGTGCTATTAATACGATTATCAAAACAGCAAAAACAAATTCTTTAAATAGACTTGAGTGTCCAAAAACCCAAATATTTATGAATGCAATGCACAAAAAACCCAATTTTTGGAGCATTTTTGCTTGATAATGATGATGACTTATGTCATATTTGCATCACAAATTAATTTGATTCAATTACACTTATGGTTTAAATGATTTTTACACATTCCTTGCAACCTTTCTAGCAAGACTTGCAAACGTTACATCCACTTTTACACATTAACCGAGAAAGAACATTTAGTATTCAAAAAAAGTAAAGCCCCAAAAGAATGATTTCATGTTTTAATATTTTCTTCATAACAATTGATGTCTTAATAACAACACTCACAGACTCAGGTAATCAGCTCAGTGCTGCTGTGGTGTTTGATACGATTTGATTGACAGTTCATGTATAATCAGCCACCAAATTGATTTAAATGTTGTGAATCGTATCGTGGATGAATTATGATTTTTAGCTCCACCCGCTTTAAACCAGTGAGAAAAACACAGAAAACAAAAACACATATACTGAAATATTTTGTGAGATGACAATAAAATGTCTCAACTTTGTCAGTAAATGTGAGTGTTTGAACAACATCTGTCACAGTAGAACTTGGACAAGTTAATGCAGCTCTGGAACAAATGAAGAGACCGCTGCACAACTACTATCTGAAGGTTTGTGTTTGAATAAAAAAAAAGTTTTATTGCAAAAAACATTTCTCCAAACTTCCACATTAAAGGAGCAATATGTAACTTTGACCCCTAGTGTTTACAATGGAGACTGCAGAGATAGCTGTCCCTCTGCCCCCTCCTCTCTAGAGTGGATGCTCACTCAGGTCACCATGTGGTGGACACTGAAGCTTCAGTGTTTATCCAGCTCTGCATGGGTCTGTAAACCTTTCTGTGTTCTAACCTCTCTCCATTTTTCAAAAGCATCTCCAATATTGATCCTAGTTTGAGCACGTTTCTGCTCGTGGAGCTTATTAGAAACATGCAGAGGCTTTTTAGGTCGGGTACAATCACTTCTATCTGAACCACTTCTCTTGCTGTTGGTTCTATTTGTTGGGTGGGTTGTTGTTATAGCACCATAGGGCCACCTTAGGGTGGGGCGTAACAAATGGGGGCATTTTCTGCGAAATAACAGACCTACATGAGGATATTTGAATTGGAAGGTGGCAAGAATGTTGTTCACAATAAAACATATTTTTTGCATTTTATTCAAACACAAACATATAAATAAAACACATTTTTGCAGTGGGGGTCTCGTCATTGTTTCTGGAGCTGTATGTATTCAGTAATATCTGTGCTGCCATCATGCTCTATGTTTGTCACAACCAACACAAATTCACATTTCTAAACAACCTCTACTTTTCAGATCGACGTTCAGCAGTATATCACAAGTGGGAAATCGGAAATCGTTAAACTATGTCGTTACTTTCTGGGTTCATTTTGTAAAGGTGAGTGCTGTCCTTCAGAGCTGTGGGTGGGTGTGGGATGTCTGAGCGTTACCTGGCCAGATGATCGCCTCCAGCAGCGTCACCCTGCGAGCCAGAAGCTCAAGGTCTGCCTGCAAGTCGTGGAACATCTGCAAGCTAATGTCCTATCAGAGAGCAGTGACAGGAGGGGGAGTGAGGGGGGTGGAAACACCAGCCTGAGTCCTGGGGCTGCTCGCGACTGTACGGTGGCAGTTTGTGCACTCCCCCCCCACTCTGCACCCACCCCCGCCTTTAACCCCCCCGCCTAAAGCTGACCCCTGCCTCAGGCCTCCTACTCACCATGAATACCGATCATAGTCTCGAGGATTAAAACCCTCTCGGCTAAGATCTTCAGCGCCTCTCTGATCTGATGTATCCCGTCCCCCTGTGAAGATAGATACAGCCGTCAAGGTAAGGAGCACAAGCCAGAGAACTGCTCGCCAAGATGCAAGTCTTTTTTTAACGTCTTTTCAATACAGGTGAGCAGTTAGAAGGTTAAAAAAACAGTCTGCAAATCTGCCCAGCACACTCAAGACATATCTGCTCCCTGTATGTCTCCCTCATTCTCTGGCCATGCTGCTACATGGAGTCAGTTTCTGACCATGCTGGGCTGGGCAGCATCAGCATGCACATTACAGACAGGCCTCATGTGGAGGATTTAACACATCCGGATTATAATCTCCATAACTCAGTCATGCCATCTGCATTCCTGTTGTCGTTGGTTGCAGTAAAGCCAGGCGAGTGTTTTTTTTTTTTTTTTCCAGCACCACAGCTTTCATTCATACCGCTGCGGTCATAAAAGTTACCCATGACGAGCAGCTAGCTTTAAATTTACCATGAAGACAGTTTGTTTTATAAAGGATTAGGATCCTAAATCATACCTTAAGGAATAAAACAGGTGGTAGAAAAAGAGAAGTAAGCAGACCGTCACAGATGAAGACATGCAGGGAACAGCAGAAGCTGACACGTTTAATATGCTCTGATTAGTGAGACAAACCAAAAGACACACTTTGAGATCGAAGAAAAAAGGCAAAGTTTCACTTGGTCCATTTAATTTTGCACTTTGTCTCATACGGAGGCTCTACGCAGACACGCATCCATATGTTTTATTTACTCTCTTTTCCCATGTTAACGAGTAACTTCAGTTGTTTTCTCGAGATCTCAACTTATTCATCCAGAGTTACAGAGGCGGCTTAACTAACCCTGTTAATGTAGACAATTGTCGTGGTCTGACCTATCACAGTGACCAGCGTATTCTATCTATTATCTATCTATTTTTTGTACATTTTTAATTTTTAATTTTTAATTTAAATTGTACTGTGTTCACTTTTTGTTTGCAGTCTTTGCTCTTTGCTGCTGTAACACCGTACGTTTCCCTGTTGTGGGATAAATAAAGGATTATCTTATCTTATCTTAGATAATGACATCAACAAATCCATTATAATTGGAAAACCCAGATGTTATCTCAAGGCAGCGGGGAAGTCGAGATCTTAAGAAAAACGACCAGAAATGACTCGTTTTGACAGGAAAAGGAGAAGATAAAATGTTTGGGTGCGTGTCCACTCAGGACCTCCGTAGTCTCAAATGAAAAATTCCAATCTTGACCCCTTGACTTTCTTTTCCCACTTTCCTCAGATTTAAATTATTATTTCTTTTAATTTATCTGGTTTTTGATTTAGAAATGGTAGCATGGTCAGAGCTAAGCGACATAGATCACAGGCCAGGCCGCTTAACTGCCTGTCCCTCACACCTTTGCAATTTACACCTTCCTTTTCTTCTTCATGACAAGTTAAATATGTTCGATGATGTTGCAGTAGTGCTTGCACGGCTGGAGACTCTTAAGCCCTTTTCACTGTTGCACTAAAATAACATTGTTGGGGTCAGCTGCATGTGTGAACGCAAATGGACAAATTTTTCACCCAGATTTGATCTGGAATTTTAGTCTGCCATCCTCTAAGTAAAATGAGTCAAGTCGAGCTGCATGTCTACAATTCTACAATAGATGCAGCAGACATTCACCATGAGCGCGCACGAGGGGTGGCAACTTTAATAACCTGCAACCAGTGCATTTTTTGTGCTCTTAATGAAGCGGATTCTTAATCATTTCTGGTCGCCCGTATGTTCTTTTCTACCTTTTCATTGATACTGTGAATGTGTCCAGTACCTCCTATTGTTGATCTAAAGCAGGGATGGGCAACTTCGGTCACAGAAAGAGCCACATTCATTTAATTCTGACTGCCAGAGGGCCAAATTGTAGAATACAAAAACGATTACAGTAAATTATGTCTCAAATTTAACTCGACATATACCAGTGATCGTGTTTCAAAGGAGCTTTAAGTCTTCGTCCTGATTAAATGGATTCCCGATCAAAAGAGTCACTTTGCCTTCTTTCTGTCTCAACAGCACCGTGTTACGACACTCATTAGAAACACAGCGTGGTATATTTTCACATTCAGAAAAGAAAAGTTAATGCAGTGCAGAAACCTTGAGATGAAATCATGCAAGGTTGTGGGATAGAGGGGGATAGCTGTATCCACTCCACTCACATCAGAGCACAACACCTCTGAGCCCAACACCACCCACCACTGAAACATATGGAGTGATTTGGCATATACATTTACATTTTAACGCCAAACAAACTGAAACAAATGAATCTTGAAGTTTCTTGTTAAGAGAGGATTTAACAATCTGGTGTCACCCAGTCAGAGCGGGGTTCCTGGTTGTTTTGTTTTTTTATATTTGTATGTATATGCCAAAGTGGGATGCTGAAAAGGTGACTGTGAAAGGTAGCCATGGGGACAGTAGCTTGCAGAGGGAGTCAGACAGCTTTAGGGTCAAGAGGACAGCAGTCCAGAGCACACCCCCAAAGAACAACAAAAACAAAAACACATTAAAGGTGTCACACACACAACAAATCTGACACTATACTCGAAACAGTCAAATAAAGACAGTTTATGACAATCGACAGGTCAGAAAGTATGGAGCTGAGAGGAAAAAGGAGATACGTCCATAAACACAAGTGACTGTGAGAAAGGTCGTAACCATAACCAGAGATGTGGGTCATGGTTCGACTACATCGAGGTTACTGAGTAGACATTGCAAAGTGATCATGTGATGACATAAATAAAGATATCTTACATTTAGATTGCTCTTGTAAATTGAGAAAAAAAAGGTAAGAGAGAATAAAGGTTAGACAGACAGAAACACGTTCTTAAAGTCCATGTCAAGCTGTCTGAACACAGCATACACGTCTGAATCAAGTTACTGTGAACGGGAAAAGACTGAGATCTATGTTTGACTGGATTATGGATTCAGATTGTTTGAAAGTCTTTCATGCAGGGATAAAGGGGAACGATATCCGGGGTCCAGTCACCTGGGGAGGTCCCAATGGAGGTTAGCAAAAACACGGTCCGTCCTAATTTTAGGCAACAATGACAACATTTATTTTACGCCCTAAATACTCGCCATTACCTCTTAAAGCATCAAAAACATTTAATTTAGTGTTATATGAACCCCGTTTGAAAATGTAACCCCCCCTCTACCTAAAATGATATGAGACTTTTTTGTGTGTAATATAACGGACGTAAGCGGGCCCAGTGGAAGCTAATGTTAGCCATGAGGCTAGCGCTAACACTACCGATCCAGCTTTGAGTCAGCCTATGTTAAATATATTTTATTTCCTTGAGTACTTAGATTACCTCAAATATTTCCAACAGTTATCAAAGCCAGAGAAATCTAATTTTCCAGTTGTAATGTGGCGTGTCTTGTCATGTCATGTTTATTGTTGCCGTGGAAACATGTGGCGCTAAAGACCGCTACATAAAGAAGCGAGGCTACTGAAAGCTTCCATTCTGTTCCTGTTTGTGCTGCTGTGATAAAAACGTCATGGAAATTAGATTTGGATACTTTAGCTCGTTGGTGAACACGGGGTTCGTTTTCATCGAGGGTAGGGAGTAAGACAGAGAATCACTCCCATGATTCCCCGCCAGCCTTGACGTCATCTTCTGTTAAATCCCGCCCTCTTAGCGCTACATTGATATAAAAGCACTGAGCGCTTCTCCTGTTGAACGTGAGTTTCCACACGTTTCAACACGTCAGTCCGTAGTTTTGCTAGCTAGCTACACCTCCAGTCTGCATGTGAATTTTGCCCCTGGATGCCAGAATTCAAGAACAGCTCGGTCTGTTTATTCCGATTCCCGATGGACGACGAGGTCAGTGTCCTCGCGTTCTGAATCTGATTCTGGATCTCGTGGCTCAAGAGAGAGGCGCGTCTGTCCCCTGATTGGGTGTGGACAGCTACATCATTCCAGAGCAGAGATTACTGCTTGATTTTTCATGATCTTGGAACTCGATTTGATAATTTAAGGGATTTTTTTTCATTAATAAAATTTGGCCTGCTGGTTAATCCAGTCCTCTTAAAATACACATTTTAACGGCTTTACACAGACTTTAATATCTTCATAAATCTTAACCTTTTAAAAACATACTTCAAACTACAGTCCATGAAGAATATGTGAAACTACAAACTTCTCTCTTACCGGCAAGCCCTTCTCTCCTGGCTCTCCCTTTGGACCCGGTACTCCCTGTGAGAAAATATTAACAACAGAGAAAACTGAGTTAAAACATTAAGGAGAGCAGAGCAGTTTACCAAAACAGAAAACAGCCCATTCTCTGTGCCTCAGTGTGGTTTGTGGTGCTGCTGGGTAGTGTAGTTTACAGTACTATAACCAGGTATGACACATGTTAATGTTCCCGTAAATACGCTCGTATACTCAGGTCGTAACCCCGCAGGCAGCAGGGTGGAGGAAGCTTACCGGCTCGCCCCTGAAGCCCCTCTCTCCTGGGTAACCTAAAGGACCCTGGAAACCAGACGCACATCACACACAGGTTTGTTAGAGTGTAGAATAAATGAATCCTGCAGAATATCATGACGCTCTGGGTGTACTCACTCTCTCCCCACGCTCTCCCTTGGGCCCCACGGGACCCTGCACTCCAGCAGCTCCAGGTTTCCCCTGAAATGAGTCAGAGGATGATACATTTTTACTTTGAGAAATTTGCACTGTAATAATATTACTGTGCTAAACTCAGTAGTGCAGCACTGAGCCATGAGCAGGCTTACATTCTGTCCTGACGGGCCGGGAGGTCCCACTGGGCCTTTGGGACCTGGAGGACCTGTGCAAAAGATTTTAAAAATCACCATGGCACCAAGTATGTTTGCAGGCTTTTTACATTGTTTAGAGCACAGAGCTCAACGGGACACATGTACAGCACCTGTGTGTGTTTATGGCAGGATTCAGCTTTTAGTGAGCGCACTCGACTCGAGGGAGGCTTTTTAAATAATAATATATTAGACTTAGAAAGCGCTTTTCTTGATGCTTAACAAAAAATAACAACAAAACAAATCAGTGACAACAATACAATGAATAAATAGTCCGAGAGACAGACTAGGGGTTTGTTAGTGGTTGTAGGGGATGTTGAAGAGGTGAGTTTTTAGAGTTTTTTGAAGATGGAGAGTGAGGGGGAGTCTCTAAAGTTTTTTGTGAGTGAGTTCCAGAGGGTGGGAGCAGCAATGGAGAAGACCCTGTCCCCCCCAGGACTGATGGTTAGTCCTACACATATCAATATCAGTTTTTTGGAAAGATTTATTTTGGGGCTTTTTGCTTTTATTTGATAGGACAGTGGATAGAATCAGAAACCAGAGAGAGAGAGAGAGAGAGAGAGAGAGAGAGAGAGAGAGAGAGAGAGGGGAACGACATGCAGGAAAAAAGCAACCTTCGCTAGGCCAACTGCGACCCAATATCGTTGATTTTTACTAGACAATACTAAATTTTGGTAATATGACCCTATTTGAGATCTCAAGAAGTACCCATAGAAGACAAGTGGGGGAAATGGAGAGCTGGATAAAATGTATATTAACATAAGTACCATATATATATATCTATATAGATATATATATATATCTATATCTATCTATCTATCTATCTATCTATATATATATATATATATATATATATATACACACACAAACACACACACACACACACACACACACACACACACACACACATGTGCAGCACAGAAATAAACACATCATGGCGAGCAGCTCACCGACAGGCCCGGGGGGGCCCTGAGGTCCTGGAACAGGAGCCCCTCGTGAGTCATGGAAAGTGTTGGTGAAGAACGGATCTTTTCCACGACCTGAGGTCGACACAAAACAAATGAGTTAAAAAAATTGTATGAAATAAATCAAAGTTTTCTCCCTGAACGTCTCGTTTGCTTTTGTAGGTCATAAAGAGGAGTCACTATTTATTTAGTCTGTTTCATAACAAGCCAAAGAAGTCATCACAGGAGATTTAATATTTACAGTTTGGTATTTGGATTTGCTGTTAAAGGAGGAATGTGTGACTTTTTGATCCAGTAGATGTCGCCCATGAAACCAAAACAAACTGATGTTTGGCCACACCTCCTCTAGTCTGAAGCCTCCGCTCTCCTCCAGAGACACACCTCCATCTCCTCTCCACTGGGGTTCACATGGAGGAGTTATGAATTATAACACACCATTATTAAACACCATTAAGCGCAAGCGGCACCTTTTCTGGATCTGCAATCACCTGTGACCTGCATTGTTGTGTTAGCATGCTAATGTTAGCACACTCAGTTAGCTCATAGCTTCATATTGCACATACATTAACACAGAATGAGCGAGATCTAAAGACACTAATATGACATAAATAATCAGTGAGTATGTTCTTCTTCTTTTCTCTAGTCCTGGACCAAAACAACTTTATATGCAGGACCGTCCCGTCCATGTAAACATGATGTAAACACGACGCAGACAACAACACAGCCAGCAGGACTCGAGCTTCTCACTCATTGTAGACAGTCATGACTCAGAGAGATATTTATTTGATTTCTGCTGTACTTATGTGTAAAATGTCACGCTTTCTGCCTTTAAAGATCCAACGAGAAACTTTTGCTTTGAGTGGATTTTGGCGCCCCCTGTGGACAAAGTTGTAAGTCTTATTTCTTTGTCCTAAAGGCATGTACGTATAGGCACTGCTTTCTCACAATAAGGTCATCCTGCTTTATTTCAACACTCAGCTGTGTCAGTCTGGTCGTTGTTTGCTTCTGTAGGTCATAAAGACGCCTCAGTCTGTTTCTTAACCAAATTTAAAACTCCTCACAGGAGCTTTAGGTTGTGGAGAATATTGATGTTTTTGTCATAAGCACCTGATTATAAACTTTAGTGAATACTTAACTCAAAGCAGTTCTGCTGTTGTGAAGCTGCCTGAGAAGCTGAGAAAAGTCCTCTTCATTACAGTTTAGTTACCACCAGAGGGCAGTGTATTCCAAAGAAACGCTCCCAACCTTCCCTAATGACTTCAGCAGTGTAGTAAACTATACCAAGAAGTGTTTAAAAGCACTGTCAGTAAGAGATCAGTGTTTCACATTCATTACACAAAGTTATGTAATACTGCATGAAATCTTGCCAAATCCAATGTGTACAACTCTGTGAGTGTAAAGAGGAGGAGGGAAGAGGAGGAAGAGGAGGAAGAGGAGGAAGAGGGCGGTGAGCGTGTGAGCGATCAAGGAAATGTGCGGCCATCAGGTCACTCAATGCTGACAGGAAACATGGATCCAATAGCAGCATGAGACATCAGGAGACACAGAGAAGAAGAGGAGGAGGAGGAGGAGGAGATGAGGAGGAGGGGGAGGAGGCAGGAGACGAGGAGGAGGAGGAGGAAGGAGAGGAGGAGGAAGGAGAGGAGGGGAGGAGGAGGAGGAGGAGATGAGGAGGAAGGAGAGGAGGGGGAGGAGGAGGAGGAGGAGATGAGGAGGAGGAGGAGGAGGAGGAGAGGAGGAGGAGGAGGATGAGGAGGAGGAGGAAGGAGAGGAGGAGGAGGAAGGAGAGGGGGAGGAGGAGGAGGAGGAGGGGGAAGGAGAAGAGGAGGAGACAGAGGAGGAGATGGAAGGAGAAGAGGAGGAGGCAGAGGAGGAGATGGAAGGAGAGGAGGAGGAGGAGGTGGAAGAGGAGGAAGAGAGGAGGAGGAGGAGGAGAGGAGGAGGAGAGGAGGAGGAGGGGAGAGGAAGAGGAGGAGGAAGGAGAGGGGGAGGAGGAGGACGAAGAGGAGGAGGAGGAAGGAGGAGGAGGAGGAAGGAGGAGGCACCCGCAGAAAGATCAGGACCAGAGATGACAGATCTGCTCTTCTTCTGCGTCCACTGCTGCACACTTTCTAGATTTCCTGCTCTGAGATCTGAACTCTAAACGAGACCAAACAACGAGTCCTACATTGTTTAACATCAGCCTCTCTCCTCTCTTGTTCTACAGAAGGGGACTCCAACCTCCTGAACAGACGTAAAAAACTAATAATCCAGTGTTTTAAAAAGGAAGCCTGACACAGACCCCCCCCCCCCCATCCTTTACGTCCCCTACTGTTACTTTGATGTGAAAGAAACGGCTCACAGGCTCAGAAATCATCTTCCCCGACCTCGACCAAAACTTTTCTTCACACAGGAACCCGGGGCTTACAAATCTGTGTGCTGCATACTTTGTTTTACCACTGAATCCACACAGAAAATCCCCCCGATGTGTTGACCTTGAAGGAGCCGGTGAGGGCCTCAGTCTTTCTCTCACTCCCCCCCCCCCCGAGCTGTCTGATCGCCTACATCTGGAAGTTGTTGAGTGACATCAGTGATGGACAGGTTCTCATCACAGCATGCAAAGCCTGAGTTTGCATGTCAGGCGTTTAAAACTCTATGATTCAGTTCTACTTGGCCGGTGGACGATAAAAAAAGTAAGTAGCAGTTAAAGGATTACCTCCATCCTGTCTGCTTTTCATTTCTCTTTGTTTCTTTTGTTCCTCATTAGTCTTAAAACCCGTGGGAGCTTTGGTGCTGCAGGAGAGAACATGCCCGCTCTACACGCACCAGTATCAGCAGTGTGAAGTGTGTGTAAGACCTCGGAATATTCCCCCGATAACAAAGGTGTAAGATGGATATGTGTACGTGCATCAGAGAGGGTTCTGTCTGTATACAGAGGAAAAGTAACGTCTAATCAGTGTCCAGGAGTAGCTGATGATGTAGAGTCAGGGGCGGATCCAAAATGTTTAGGATTGGCACAATTTGATTCTGCAGCAGTGGCCTGAAGTTCATGTGCACACACACACATGCATAGCATTTATTTACCCTTTCTATCTCCACTGATCATTTCTACTGACACTGTACTAGCATAAAAGTATATATACTGTAAAAAACAAACAATTTAAGGCCCAGTCCCATTTACTATAGCCTGTTGTTGCTGCATGTTTTGACAAATAAATTGCAGGCCTCAATTTGAGGCAAACATGTGTTTGTAGTCTTTGAAATAGTTTGTGGATTAAAAATGAGAAAGCACAGCAAGAAACACCAAAAAAAATAAATAGTGGGTCACAGTCTTTCTCATCTTTGCTGAGTACAAGTTTAGTTTAAAAATAAAATAAATAAAGGTCTCGGATTGACGCCTGTGCCAAATGAAGGCAGGGTCATTTCATACACTGAAGTAAATAAAAGGCCCGGGCAGCATATAAATCTTATAAAGGCTATAAAGTCTATTGTATGTGTGTGTGTATGTATGATCACTTTTGTGGTTACTGATGTTTGCTTTGTCGTGTGTATGAATTATTATTATGAGTGTGGAAACACTTTCTTTCTTTTGTATGCTGTGTTTTGATTTTGTTTTTAACCTCAATGTAAAGCACATTCAGCTTATCTGTAATGAAATGTGCTATATAAATAAAATTGCTATTGCTATAAATATAAATGCTGATTTTGTAAATGAAGGAACTCAAACAGAAGATGTGTGTCCAAAGTTCACAATATAAAGTACAAAAAAAAAGAAAACGTGCCACTGTGAAATGCAACTGATTTTTGCAGAAGTGCCAAAAACTGCAGTTCCTCCAGTCTCCACTTGAGGCATACTCCAAAAGCCAGGAATCCACATCTGCACACCGTCTGCAACGCTGATGAAAGCTTTACGCGTCCGATGTTGAACTGTACGCTGCGGCTCTACCCCGCTAATACAAACTTTAAAGGACATCGAGTGTGCTGACTTTTCTGTTTTTTTCTTCTTGGGGTCGTGCACCTGAAGTTTTATGACTGTTTGAGTGTGCTACTTCTTTTTGCTGTTGTCCCACATTAGAATGCCCATTTTGACAGCATTTTTATTTAATCTTGAAATGTGACCCCAGATCTCTCTGAAATATTTTTTATGATCCAGATTTTTTTACTGATGCAGATATAATGGAAAGCAGTAAAACAGCAAATACTTTTCAGATTCCCCGTTTTATATGACACGCAACCTCGAACACTGAAGAAAAAACACAGCTGCCATATGAATAAGGTAATAATCAAACACAAAAAGTAGCTCGTCTAAATGCGCAACAGGGTACCCTGTGCACAGCCATTCTACTTTCTCAGGTGCTGGTCAGTTGCAGGAATATACAATGAAAACATAATAAATAAACACAATAATAAATGGCACTGTCCATGGTGACTATACAAAGTCTGTCAGAAGTAGTGCTGGTCAGGGTCTTACTTTGGTCTGGATCTGGGATGCGGGCACTAGCCGGCGATGGAGGTCCTGGAGGACCCGGCGGGCCTGGTAGACCCCTCTCTCCTTGGAGCCCTTGTGGACCACGGGGACCTGCGGAGAGGGAAGACAGAACCAAGACATGCGGTGACAGAAATAAGACATGTCATCACAAAGACGTGATTTTCATAGTGTTTCTGATTCTGCAGAGGCGGAGAACAATGACCGAGTGGTGGTGATAAATAACGTGATGAAAGGAGGATAAACTATGACGGAGACCAGAGAGGAAACAGATTAGAGAAAGTGCTGAGTGATGCAACGTAACTGTGCCTGGCAGGAGTGTGTGTGTGTGTGTGTGTATGTGTGTGTGTTCATGTTCACTCAGCAGCTGGACAAAGCAGGAGAAGTGAACTGGTTGACTTTGTGCTTCTGTAATTAACAGGAGGAGGGTGTTTAACAGTGCTGGGTCATGAGAAAACTCAAATAAACACTGTTAAACTCTATAAAGTGTTCCTGGCACTGATTTAGAGTGAACTAAAGCATACACACCTCGAGCTTTTCTCATTATAACCTGTTTTAAAACGGTTCAGTTTGCAGGACGCCCCTGTGATGAACTGTTTTATAAACTCATTTGTTCCAATCTTGTTAAAATGTAATTGTTTCTTAAGGCTGTTTGTGTTGTGCACTAGCGTCATCGTATCCTCTTGTTGTGTTTTTATGCAGATCTTGTTCAAAATGAGTCATTTGGGGGTTTTCAGGGGCATGTGCCTCTCTGTTCAAGACAAATTTTCCCCAATGGGACAGTAATGCATGGTATCATATGGTATCATTTTGTATCGCATTATATCATTTCGCATCAAATCGCATCATTTTGAACTGATCGTATTGTATCACTGTAAATTGAATTGCATCGTATCATTGCATCAAATAATCGTATCATATTGTATCATTTTAAACTGATCTTATCGTATCGTTTCATAGCGAATCCTATCATGATAACACACTTGCTGTTTAATTTATATAAAGGTATTTTGGTGAAAATAGTATGTCAGTGCCTATTCTGTTGTGATTTTATCAGTGAAAACAATTAAATTGATGTTCATTCTTGTGTTCGTATCACAAACAGCCTGTAGCTGGTCCAAATAGCTGCCTGGTTTTCTCCCAGTCTATTATTTTAAATGTGTTTAAAAAACCCACATCTGACCTCATTGTTTGGACTCTCCTGAGGTCTGCCCTCTAACCACCACCTCTTGCTCTCTTACAGGCCCACACTCACCACCTCTCTGTTTTATAAGCTGAGACAACATGCAATGACGGTCCACTAATTACTACTTTGCAGAGTAATGTTATTCCGGCTCTGATTTGACACCTCTGTGGACCACGTTCCCTCCGCCTCGGTAAACACTGCAGCATGACCGACCATGTTTTGGCTGCTCAGGGGGGGGGAGACTGCAGGATGTGACATGTTAGGGAAAACAATTTTCGTTTTGCCCAGCAGAATTATGGTTCCCTGGAGGATGCTGCGTCAAAATATGAGTCACAGCATGTAACACAACTCTCCTTTAACTTATCAGGACTCGTCATAACGTACAATATCACTGCTTCTAACACATGAGTTCCCTTTTTCTCCCATCTTTCCCATAACCTCTGACATTAAAAAAACACATTTATCTACATTTTTCCATGACATTGGAAGCATTCCAGCTCTCAAGTTTATCTTTCTCTTTGAAAAGAAAAAAATCATCACAATGAGGGAAACGCAGCTTGGGATGTAAGACATAGCTCTGGTTTTTGGGTACTTACGAAGTAATGGAGATAGAAAAAACAATAACACCGCAGGCATATGGAAATCATAAGGACCTGGGATTATTGTATATATAGCTCATGTTCGGTGCAGATTGAAGTCACATGGCGCTTCTTGGAAAGTGGGTTTGTAGTTTAACTTTTGCTCTAAATCTCAGCGTTGCCCAGCAGCAGGCACAGAGCAAGGGTCATATGTTCGCCTGCAAGGAGGAGAGTTCCTGCCTTCATGATCCAAAGCAGAGGTATAAAAGCCTTCAGCCGGAGCAGATGTTGAGACACACTTATACCAACGTTTAAGTCGCAGCTGCGTGTGGATTTACTTTTCCCTAACAGGTCATTTATTATTTGTACATAAAGCAGTGAAATCAGAATACAGGGAGCAGATTTATGATTCAGCATTTGTTCTGGTTCAGTAAGCAGCACATGTCAGAGACGCTTTATGTAGTCAGGAAAAATAAATGCCTTCGCTGCCCACTGGAACAGCAATTTTTAAAAACATATGATTTAAAAAAAATGCCCAAATGCCTCAGGGGCCACTGGAAAACGCTCAGACATTCACCGCTGGAGGGTCTGTGGGCTGAAGGAGCGGTTTGAGAGAGGAAGACAAATACTCCGGAGCAGGACGTCGAGGGTGTTTTGTAGGAGAGCCTTTCAAATGTCGTCTCCTACATGCAACAGGATAAAATGCTAAATCTTTTACAGACAATAGGATTATTGATCCAAGATGGGGCTTGGAATGGACGCCTCAGTACGTCTGTTTGTAGAGTAGTTTCTGCTCTCTCGCTCTCTCTCTCTCTCTCTGCTCACATTCATCAGAGAGGAACTTTTTAGCTCTCACTAAGTCAGGGGGCATTTTCACACATGTACCAAACTCCAAAAATGTTCTGAAGTTTTCAGGGATAGATAACTCTGTTAAACACAAAAAAAAAAAAAAAGCAAAATTTTCAACTTTATCCAGACTTCTTCCAGCCCCCTATGGAAATGTCTGCAAGAAGTCGCTGTGAGCCGGTGTGTGTGAACACAGCAGGTACGCTAATATTCACTACAACTGAGTGGCAGCTTCTAAAGTTTGGATACTGCAACCGCTGCATAACCGATGCGATCCTCATGCAATGTTTTGAAACGGCCTCATTATGTTTTCTGCTCTTCAGAAAGTTCCTCTCCACTCTTTTTTTTAGATACTGTGAGGTTGACCTGTTGCGTGTGGCAGCCATCATAGTATCAGACTCTTCTGCACATACGCCGTCCTGCCTGGTACCCCCCCACCCCCCACCCCCATGCAGATTGATGTGCATGTGTGATCAGGAGTGCATTATGTGAAAACCGCAAGGCTGTCAGGAACAGTCGATGTAAAAACAACAAAAAGAACCAAATCAGTTGTGCATGTTGAAGATCGTTGTTTGAACTCACCCTCTTTTTCATGTATAACTTAAAACTACACTGAAGGCCAATCCCTATCGTCTGTAACTACTCAAAATACCACAGCAATCTACCACTTCATCCATACAGATATTTATTCTAGCATCCGTGCACTCTCTTTTACACTCTTGCTGCTTTTCTGCAAGTATTGCTTTTGTGTCTTATACAGTATATCTAAACTCGTATTATATACTCTTAAGTTTAGGTATGCAAAGGTCTTACATGTGGTGGTTTTTAGTTTCTAGTTTAGTTTATCTATTTGTTCTCGTTTAAAGTTGAGTGTATCAATTTCTTTGTCTGCATATTGAGATTAGTGTAAAACCAGTCACATTCCTTGTATGTGCCCGCTAACTTTGCCAAAATAATCGTTTCTGATAAGTGGACGGGCAAATTTACAACCGCCCTGCACACAATCCTTCAAAAAGATCAATATCTTCATGTGTTACTCTGAGTGAACTAAGAGGTGAGTGTGCTTCTACTCTCAGTCCTCTCTCACCTGCAGGTCCCGGGAATCCCCTGGATCCAGGGGTTCCAGATGGACCCCTCCCCCCGACATCCCCGCGAGGCCCACTGGGACCCGGCAGCCCTCGAGACCCTGACTTTCCTATAAGAGGAGGAAACAAGTCGTGAGTAATCATGAAGCTTTAACTGGTTTTACATCTTAAACGGTTTCACTTTCACTGTCTGAAAGGCGACCGTGGTAACAATTTACCATCTCTGCCAGGAAGCCCGTCTCTCCCCTTCTCACCCTGAGGACCTGCAAAGAAAACAGAGCGGTGATTTCATTTGAGGTGAAGCTTTGTGAGACTAAAATTGGGCTCGCACCACCTGGAGTAAGATGTGGTGTTAAATCCACCAAGGGAGGAAGAGAAATAAAGAAACTGAGAACAACACTCTTAATGTTATAAAGGCTGTTTTATATTTCATTTCCAAAATACTTTTATCATACTTACCTCATTTTGATTCACTTTAAGACGAAAAGAGAGTGATGGGATATTAAATGGTTCCATAAGTGTCTATTGCAGTCGGCCAATGACGCTGTGCCATTGGCCTGAGTGAAACACACTCTCTAGGTTAAAGGTCAACTCATCCCATTTCGACAACTCATTCAGTTCGCACATGTTTGGGAGCGATGCATAAGCAGATATGCAGTTGTATTTCTCCTTAGGTGTGTTTTAAGAGAAGATTTCTTCAGAACTGTTGGTAAATGAAGCCCAGTCTCCATGTGTAAGAACACTGAGCAGGTGCTTCAGCTGAAACGACCAAGAAGACAGGAAGACCCCCGGGTGCTGACGAGGTTATTTGACACCTAACAGGATTATATTTTGACAATGGAAAGCATCGGGCTTCAGTGCAGGGGAGTCATGACCTTGAAACCAGGTCTATTCCCGCATGGCATTTATGTTAGCTTACGTATACGATCGTTTTAGCCGCCATTAATATGAGATGCAACTTACAAATCACTGTGTATGAATGTGTGATGAATCCACTGCAGATTTCAAGGTGGAATCTGGTCTTAAAATATATATTTTTTAAAGATTTATTTTTAAGCTTTCATGCCTTTTTTGGATAGAGTCGAAAATCAGGGAGAAAGAGAGAGGGGGGGGATAGAAGCCCCAAGTCGGATTCAAACAGGGGTCGCCCGCTTCGAGGACTACAGCCTCCAAATTAGGAAGTGGACAGTCATGGGATAATACTCGAGTCAATGTCAACTAGTCACTTGAACCTCTCTGGGATGTTAAGATGTAACTGACAATCTTTCATAACTGCTTCTTCATATTCTACGTTTTCAAAGACAGCCTTCATGACCTTTCCTTTCAGTTCAGTCACGGAGGGCAGAAAGGAGAGCAGCAGTAAACGGGGCTCTTGCTTTTAGAGGAAATGAGTGTGCGTTGTGGAGGAAACGGGATATGAGCAGAGCTGAGCAGGTAGAGGACAGGAAAAGAGCTGCAGAGAGAGACTTCTGACAGAACCCTGTGGTACACCTGATGGATGACGATGTGCTGTACTGACCTGCAGGCCCCTGCTCACCAGGAGCTCCCTGAGCGGCTGAGGTCCCCATCAACAACAAGGCCTCTGCCGCAGTTTCTCCTTTTCCCTGAAGGTGGCGATGTGACACGGAGGCTGGGGCAGCGAGTAATTGGACCTGGGATTAAAAACACATAAAAGAGAGACGGCTGTTAAACGATGCAACATCGAGGATTTGAATTTGGACATTCAGCCTTCTCTCCTACGGGCTGTAAACTCTGGAACGCATGATTAACAAAGGTCAAGTGCTGGCTATCGTCACATCTGTACTGTTGTAGTTTTATGTTACTGAGCGCTGGTTATTTAATTACCCTGTACACATAAAGGCCCAATCAGGGACAGGAGATGAAATGAGCTGCAACATGTCAGTTTTATGCAGGTTTGTCACTCTCTGATAGTTCTGTAGTGAAGACCACGCTAACTGAGACCAGAGAGCTGCAAGATCGAGACATTAAGGGATCCAGAGCAAGTTAAGATCAAGGCCAAGGCCGGCTTAGACCGAGACCATACACATCAATGAAAAATCATCATCTTGTGTGAAGCAGGCGTGTCACTCACTTAGACGTAACACCGGGAAGGTTGAGCAGCAGATAAAAATAAAAACCACAAATGAATTGAAATTATAAATTCATAATTTTCCTTCTAATCACAGAGATGATGTGGAGAATATCCGATCAGTGGACTTGATTTAAAAACCGGAATCCGCCCAGTCTGACACCGAGACAAGACAGACTAAAAATGCTTTCAATTCCTAGACGAGACAGAGACCTTCAAAATGTGCTTGAGTACTACAATACTTCTCCCTGACCTAACACACCTTCCTTCCTTCCACCCAGAGATTCATCCTGCCAGCATGTCGGGACCAAGAGACCGAGGAATTCATTTGTCCCGGCGGCCATCGCCTTTTTAAACGACTAATTGTGTTTCTTTTCCCTCTGTTTTTCATCTATTGTATTTATTGTCAATTTGACTTTTACTTCTTAGTGTCCTTCTTATGTTGTCTGCTGATTGTTGGCTGGATGTTTGTATGTTTTTTACTGCTTTACTGCCCTCTCACAGGGATAATAAAAGCAGACTTGAATTGAGATTTAACACACAGGTATCGTTAAGACCCTGTTGGAACTATATCAAGATACTGCAGATGAGAGAGAACAGTCCATACCTTCTCCTCCAGCGAGTTCAGCCTGTCGCCCATAGCTGTGATTCGACTGCAGTTGAGACAATCTAAAAAAAAAACAAGAAATGATTTCTTTACCTACAGGAATCAGACTCTTAAATTTGAATATTTGACTTTTTGTTTTAAAAGTCAGCCAACACTCACTAGAAATAGACTCTCCTGTGCGTGCAGGCGGGCGTCGTAGTGTTGACGGTTTCCTCACTGCCTCTTGAGCTACGAGCTGGTTGGCCGCCTCTGTAGAAGAAGAAAACAACAAAGAAATAGATCAGTTATAGTGGATTCACCCTGAAAACAGTAACTTTAAAGGAGCAATATGTAACTCTGACACCTAGTGTTTAAAATGGGTACTGCAGTCCAAATTCTAAACATTGTAGAGAGCTGTCCCCCCCCCCCTCTCTAGAGTGGATGCTCACTCAGGTCCCCATGTGGTGGACTCTGAAGCTTCAGTGTTTATCCAGCTCTGCATGGGTCTGTAAACCTTTCTGTGTTCTAACCTCTCTCCATTTTTCAAAAGCATCTCCAATATTGATCCTAGTTTGAGCACGTTTCTGCTCGTGGAGCTTATTAGAAACATGCAGAGGCTTTTTAGGTCGGTACAATCACTTCTATCTGAACCACTTCTCTTGACCCGCTTCCATCGCTGCGACACCTGTTGACCTGATAACTGCTCTCATATCTGACAAACTGAGGGGCGTCCAAAATAGCTGTGTGGGGGGGTGTCTTAAAAGCGCCTACCTTCTCTGGTCCAAACAAATCCAGAGCATTCAGGAGCAGAATCTAAAGTTAGGAGGAGGACATACTGGCTGCTGCATTGTTGTCAGAGAAGCCAGCACTTCAACATAGCATGTTTCCTTAATGATCAGATAGTAAGATACCTTTATCATTTCAGTCAGTAGATATCTTACAGATTGCTCCTTTAAACATTTATATACAACATGTGTTAAAATAGTTCTAATCACAGGTGAAATTCTCAAAAAGATCGACTCGCAGTTAAACACATCTGTCCACCTACACTGTCCTACACAAATCAGTCCAAACATCTTTTGCAAACAAAAATGGAGGTTATCTGGTTTTAGTGACTAAAATGTGACAGTTCACAGTTTTTCTCCATGTTGTTGTCTCGTTGAAAGTTGACGTCTTTGAGTTCTGGACTGCTGCAATGACAAAACAAGACATCTGAGGACGTCACACTGAGTTCCTGGAAGTTATCCCCGGGCGTTAGTCGTCATTTTCTGACATTTAATAGACAAAACAAATGACTGAGTATTCCAGAAGATAGGCATTTACATAAATCGGTAATAAAAATGTTAATTTCAGCCAACAAATCAAAGGATTTACATCCACATTGAATGAGTCTGGAGGGTCATGATTTGCCAGAAGTAGTTTTTTCTCTCCTGCGGAAAAAAAAAAATCTGGAAACAAGTGTGTGGACGTGGCCTGCATGGACGGGTGTGTAGAACATCTGACTTTAAGAGCAGCAAAGTTAAGGTCCACAAAAAGACCAGCAATAAATGTTCCCTTTTTAAATTGTATCCACAAACTAACTCTATAAAACAAGTGACAAGTGCCGAACCGTAGGCCAAGGATTCTGGCACTGACGGCCATTATTCATTACTTTCTTTCTAAGAAATAAGAATTCAAGCCAGATATGAAGAAAATCCAGGATTGAGAAGAACAGATCACTTTCCTGCTCTGATAGTAGGGTTGCATAAAATTCTGTTTATGTGTCATGTTTAAATGTTAGCCAACTGTTAGACTGTCACATTTCCAAAGGTTAGAAACAGTCAGATAAAAAGAGACGACAATAAAAAGAGAGTGTCTGATTCTTCCAAATAATACGAGTATGTTTAATTTAGGACGGAGTACGGTTTTTACACTACCTCTGCCACTTTAAAGCAGCAATATAGGAATTTGGTTTGGAGTGCAGCCTGCTGTTGTAAAACAATCTGTGCTGTTACACCTTTCCCTCTGAGACTGCGTTCATCTGTTGACAAGCAGAGGGTGGAGAAGCCAGCAAAAATATGAGATGTGAAACAACCACAGAGACCGACAAGGTTCAGTAACATTACCAGGTTCTGCACAAATATGATTCTGCAAGCGTCTTCAGCCAGTCGTCTGCAAACTGTTTGCATGTGGAGTATATGTACAGTATGTGTATTCATCTGTTACCATGACGTCTATAGACCTAGCTAAATGGCTACATTGGAGAGGGTAACATGCTAGTTTACAAAGCTAACTTGAAGCTCGACAAGTTAAGAGACAACTTTTTGGTTTAAGATGGATATTCAGTATTCATTTATTTGTTTGCAAACCTGAAACATAACTTTGGTTCGGTGACTTTCTGCATCGAGTAAAGCTGCTGAACATGAGACGACGATGACTCAGATAACAAGATAATGAAACAGCCTAACATTACGTCATAATCTGTGATGAATATTGTCTGCCGAGATGTAATCTCTGCTTCTTGATCGGTCACTCTCTCTTTTTCTCTCTTTAGCTTCCTCCGTCACCGTCCTCTGTGTCTCTTAGCCTCAGCTGTTATATCAAACAGTACAGAGACGGGCTAACTAGCTTCTTTTTATAACTGAAGGCTGCAGCGTTGTAAAGTCGTACACACTTCTCACAGGAGGACCTCGGCCTGCTGCCAAAGTTACATAGTTCAGTTAAAAAGAGACGCCATTCTCCCTCTTGAAAGTTATTGTGCTATTAAATTGACCTTTTCAACTTTTTTAAGTGGGAAAGTTACATATTGTTGCTTTAAAGGGAGACTTCACCTGTTGAAACATGAATCTGTATTGACATTGGGTCATATATGTAGAAATGTGAAATACATTTTGAAGTTGGTGCCTTCTTGACTGAGAAAAGGCAGAAAGTGTCTTTTTGGCTCATGTGGATGAAAGACAACAACTCCCAGAATGCACAGCACCGCAGGCCACTCCCACTAAGGTCCTCTATTTACAGACATTTACTACAACACATACGGCCGTTTCCTCAACTGATTCAGAGATTTCTTCCAGAAGGAATTAGCATCTTGTAAATTCCTGTCAGAAAACAGACTCTATGTCTGTGTCCATAGGCAAACAGTGAGAGCACCGACACTACCAGTCCACCCCAGCTCGAGCCGGCCCCGGCTCCTCGTCCTCACCTCCGCCGACAGTCAGGCCTCATGTCTCGGCTGCTGAGCTGCAAAATGAGGATTTTTGCGTCACTGGAAGCTCCTTTTCAGACTTAGAAATACAAAGATTTCCCGTCTCAGGGGAAAATGAGGGCGGGATGCACGACCATTCCAAAATACTACCATGATACAAAGATTAATGCAAATGGGTGAAGTATCCCTTTAACAGTTTCTCTTGCACAACATTTCCCCTATTGTTGCAACCTCTTATTCCTCAAGTGTCTTATGTAACAAAACGATCCGAGAGGAACAAAATGTCATCTCACTTTGTACTGTGGTTGAAATGACAATAAAGAAACTTGAATTGACGTCGACTTTAGTTACAGTCTCAGTGTTGAGAGAAGATGTTCCTCCAGGAATTAACTTTGTACTGTTTCTCTCTGTGCGGCGTTTCCTCCTGGAGAGCTTCTTACTAACAGCCAGGAAAAACTGGCACATAGTTTTTAAAGTTGAAGCGCTGACAAAGATGGAGATCAGAAAAAAAAAACAGTTGCAGCTTTTGTGTGTGTAACATTTCCAAGAAACAAACATTGAGCATTTTGCATCTTTGCCAAGTTGCTCTCGTTTTGCCTTACATAAAAAACAAAAAACTCAGAGCCTGGGAGAGAGGGAGTGTAAAAGACAAAACAATAGTTTCCTTGTGCGGACAGAATGGGTCGTCTCAGCTCACATTCTGTCTTGCCTTCATTTTATGAAGTGTGGGAGGTTATGTCTGTGGGTTCTGGATGTTTTGAATGGGCAGACCTTTGTTGGAAATGCTAGACTGACTCCTTTGTCCGGCCTGGTCAGGCTCTGGTCGGAGCCAGGTGCTCCTGATACAAACAAGAGGGTGACACCTCATCAGCCACCAGGAGGCCCGACTACGCCAATCAGTGGACGACACAAACAGTCAGCACCAAGTGCTACGAGGGTCGTCACCATCCCAGATTTTAAACTTCAATATGATTCTGGTCAAAATCAAAGGATACTGATACCTGTTTCGATACCATGAGACAAAACACAGAAGAGCTAGAAACCCAACGTTGGGTCATTATTGTTTTTCTTAAAGCAACAATGTAAACATGTTTATTTCTGCTTTAAAAGAAGACATTTTAATATTGGAGACCCTGGCTCTAGTGGACACTTCAGGAACTGCAGGTTGTTGTTTTTTTTTTACATTTGCTTCATTTTTCAACACCAGAGGTTTTCCTCTTGGTCACATCACAAAGTCACAGATTGTGTCTACCTCTGCAAACCCAGGGAGGGGAAATGGAGAGCTTATTGTCATGAAGAATAATAATCATTTAGGAAATTTAAGATAAGAAAACATAACGCGTTTAGTGATGACCCACAGCGAGGGGAGAGAGAGAGGGCAACGAGGACGTCGACAGACCACATTGTTTTGGGTAAAGTGAGACTGCACCAATGATTCCCATCCTCAACCTCTGCCCTCATGATTTCACTGTTTTGATTCTTTATCTCAGAGGATTATATGTGTAGATGAAATTAAACTTCATGGGACTGAATAGTTATTTTTTTGGCTCTAAATTGGGAAAAAAAACTCTTCCATGTTTTGTTAATGTTATGTATCGTTTTGAACAGAGTAGGGTCGTTATGATTTTAAACTTCAACACATTAAAAACCATAAAATATAAACACCTCCTAGGCACCCAATCCTGGGTAATATATTGTGTTAATTCACCAGAAGATGCATGCATGACTCCTGCACACTGTCTAAATTCCTACAGAAATGTTGCCAATGTGTTTGTGCAACATAAACAGAGTCATGTCCTCTTCTCTCTTCCTGTTTGTAAAAGATACAAGTTTAACATTCCAGCCAGTAAGTCCTCCTTCTAACTTCTGGTCTGAATGCTCTGGATTTGTTTGGACCAGACAGCGCTCTACAATGTTTAGAATTTGGGCTGCAGTACCCATTTTAAAAGCTAGGTGTCAGAGTTACATACTGCTCCTTTAATAAATAAATTATTCCAACAAATTCACAAATTTATTTACTTTACTAAAAATGAACATTAAACATCTGGTATTGTAAAAAGTATCAAAGTTAAGAACATTTAGACAA